AACTTTCAATGTCTGAGAACGTTGTTACATTGTTAATATTGAAGTATTCAACGGATGAGTGCCATACAGTCTGAAACATTTCCATGAGATCATTCCATTTCACTGACAGATTTGTCAGTGTCAGGTTTTGTAACTTGGATCCTTGTCTGAAATTAGATAATAAAGCTATCAACTTTTTTACCTTTTCTTCTTTGATTTCTGACAATGACAGGCTTTCTGTAGTATTTTGTACGACAACCCAATCACCATCAGTTTTGGACTGATGACTCTTTGTATACAAGAGTGGCAGGCTCACGATTTTTTGGTTAGAAACATCTTCTGGAAAATTGTTAGAAACAGATGTAAAGAGTTCATCTTCCACAGACAGGCTGACATGGTTCCAAAAAGTTAATGCAAACAGACACTTGTACAGAAAAACGTTTCTGAGAAAGCTCGTATTTAGTGTCATACTGTTTTCTCTTTACTTGCAGGCGCTCAATACTTTTCTTAACTGTCCATTTTTGTTCCAATCCTGTGGAAATTAAAGAAACACAAGCAAAAACCAGATTGTATTATTAAGTAGCTGTGCCAGAACCATCAGAGAGAGAGATTTTTCTAAGGTTCCAATTTCTCATTTCTCCGTTTGATTCAAAAAGCAATTATTTTCTACAATCATTCAGGAGAGATATTCTTTATTAACAGACCACTGAAATTTTTATTTGGCAAATAAGGTGTATTTAACAAATAATGAATCAGTTTTTTACAAAACATGTCTGATTTCATAGGTCCAAAATTTGCTGCTTTCTTACATAATTTCTGCTGTGATACAGGTGCATTATGAATGCTTCCTAAACTGTGTAATAAGCTTTGATTAGAAAGTACAATAATTGGCGTCAACACATCATCCTCTCCTCAGGTTCCTTCTTAAGTGATGTGAACTGGGCTCAGAGACATTATTTTAAAATGGACTTTTGACAGTAACACTTGAACTGAAACATAGCATGGAGGTTCAAGAGCCTGAATCAAAAGCTGAGTGTCTTTAGATAGCTGAGACTGGATCATCAGTGCTTCTTTTAACTAGGGAAATGATGGTGAGTGTAGAATGATCTATATTTATGCCTTGGGAAAGCCCACAGAAGGGATCACTTCTTGTCTGAGCTTAAACATTTCCTGAATTTAGACTCTGAAAATGGGGTGCTCACATCTGGTCTGACAAGTGTACAAAGAGAACACCAGACACACACTGGGAATATTTGCAGGCTACACAAAAATATACACAAAAATAGATGTAGAACCTCTGTACACAAAATCCAGCCCTGATCTAAGGACACTGACCTCAGACATCTCTGTTGTGAAAGAGAGGTTTATTTAAACAGACTTTAAAAGGAAAAATCATAACTGTGTCCTTGCTTTGGTTTTCCCTATTGGAGGTCACTTTTTCTTTCTAAATGTAGGAGTTTAGGGGAGCCAGCCTCCCTTTGTTTAAATCAGCCATTGAGAATATTGTCTTAAATCTCCTTTTAGCTATTGCATAAATCCATTATACTGCTCCTCTAAAAGAGGAACTGTTAAGATCTCGGTTAACAATTTTACATGTGTAAATCTTATTTAAAGCTGTTTTCCAGATTTCTAATATCTTTTTATTTCCTCTTCTTTCCCCTTCCCTCCCATTAATTTTAAATCATAATGTTGCCTGAGGTTTCCCACAGTACTTTTTAATGACTGCAGTGGCCTTTACCTTTCCCTTGATATTGAAGGGGTTAACTTGTGATTTTATTTTCTAATGCCTCTACAATGAGACAGTAGCTACCACCTGAGAGACTGATTTACAGCTTCAAGGACTACATTCACTGTGCCATTAACTATTCCATAAGCTTTCTTTCTCAGAATTACTGGGGCAAAATACATGTTCTACTTCATCTAACAAAAAAACAAACAAACAAACAAAAAAAAACACACCAAAAAAAAGAAGTCCACTGAGTTCTTTAGTAAAGAATGCATGAAACTAAGCTTGGAAATCATCAAGAAATAGTGGGGCAATATGGCAAAACTTTTCCAGCCTTTTTCCAAATTCTCATTTGGAAAAATTATATGCATCACAGCCCTCAAAATGCATTTGGGCATATTCAGTTCTGTTCTTCTGATTGCTTGGGCAACTTTACTAATGTGTTTATAATTAACCAAAACACATAGCTTCAAGAGAAAACTGAAAAAAAATCTACCTTTAAATCATTATTCCTTCTTTGGATAAAATTTCAGCAATATTCATGGACCAGATGATAAAAGGATCGGATCCTTCTACATGTGCTTTATTTTCTTTCTCTTTTATATATCCTAGCATTTAGTCAAATTATTTATGAGTACCTTCAAAATTGCTTTGGAATAGCATATGAAGCAACACAAGTAAAAACTTTTATAACATATAACCTGTGATTTGGAAGCTAATACTGAAGAAATTATCCCTCATAGTCATATCACTTTTAATTCAGAAGTATCCTCATGTCTTCAAACGTGATAAAAAAAGCTTAACCAAGAAAAGCAATCCAGAAGGCTAGGCAAGCCAAGAGCATGGCAAGAAAGTGTCCTGTTGTTTAAAGAGCAGGGGGAGAGAAAATAAATGAGGTTTTAAGAGTTTTTCCAATATAAAACTGGTAGAAACTGACTAAACTTCCATATAAGAAATAAAGAGAATACATATAGCTGAGACAATTCAGTATTAAGACATGCTCTTTGCAGGTTACCAACATAGCAAAAAACTAATGCTACAAAAATGCCTTTCACAAGGATGAAACACACGATCAGGTTAGACCCAGTTCCTGAACTGTAGAAAACTCAGGAAAAACTACTGCCATCACTCTGCCCCCCTTAACTATGGGTGTAGTGCTAAAAATGAGAGACTGCTACTTGGACAGGTTTTTTGGAGAAGTATTCCGAACACAAGCAACCTCACCATCGTTCCTTACCCATACACTTGGAAAGAACATCGTACACTTGCTACAAAAAACAAGGCTCATTTTCAAATAAGATACAGAATATAAAACAATTACAGCTAACTAGCAACAGCACAAAGTCAACAAAATTAAAACTTTTCTCACCAGAAATCCCTGCTGTCCGAAAAAGCAGAAAATGTTCTCAGGAAAACAATAAAAAAAAAGAAACTTCCTGTAACTCTATCCTACTGAGTAACAATACTTAGGAACACCCAAATTTTTATATACATGTTTGTGCCATCTACTGACAGCTTGTGAAATGGCATTTGCTTTTCTCTGGATGTATTTTTCACATACAACATTACTGTAATATCTCCACTATTCTATTATTATTGAACTTTATGTTTTTATGCTTTGCAATATATTAAACAGGAGAAATATGAATCTTTTTACTACTTTCTACCTTCAGTAAATTAATATGAAAATAAGTACTTCTTTTGAATGTCTCTAGGCATTACTGTAATTTTTTGTCCATTTTGCTGCACCAATTTGGTTGTCAGACTCTTATCAAGGCTGGTTTATAAAAGTACCATTTGTCTTAGTTTAATTTCCATTTAATAGGAATGGAATAATAATCTCTCTCCTACTCCAGCAGTGTTGTCATTGGGTTAAACAGTGAACATGGAAACACTGAGTGGAATTTGGTTTGGATTTTTTTCTTTGGAAAGAGTGGTGACTTTGGCACTGAAAGCCCAAACACAAGGTTATTGTCCTGGCAAAGATATAAACCAGTCTCTCTTTATTTCTGTATAATGTTGGTCAGAAATTCCACCATAGCTGAAATCTAAATACAGAACCGCCACACTATAACCTACCTTTCTGGGTTAGCATATCATTACACATTCATTATTTAATATTTCAATGATTCAGGAAGCAGAGGAAATAATCTAAGAAATTACTTTTTCACTTTAAGGCTTATTCTGTAGATTATATTTAATTTCTCAGCCTCAGGTGAAAAGAGGTCATCCAAAAATGAAATTGAAAGATAGGACAGGTAGTAAGAAACAGAATATGGAAAATTCACTGCTATGCTGCTGCTGAGCCTTACAGTAGTACTGTATGATTGCATGTGACCTCTTGGAGTAGCTCTCCTCAGTGGCTCACAATGTGCTGGTTTGCCTCCTGTGTCAAAAGTAACTTCTCTCGCTGGCAGACTAGTGATAGAAATGGTGCTGTGTTGCCTTTCACCATAAAGGCCATGCTTCGCTTTAAAATGAGGTCGCAAAAAGAGGAACGGGTATGAGGAATTACAGAGAAACAAGAACCACAGGCTGTTGGGAACAGCCTGCAACCCCTTTGCTCAACCAAGTGTTTCACCGACTGGAAATGTGTGCACGCACCGCTGGCCTCTGTCAGGGGATTTCCCGTAAGCACAGCGATGGGAGGTGCCCAGCGGTGTCTGAAGCGCTGCATCTCCGTTCAGTTCCGCAACCCCACGGGTCAGTAAGTGCTCACTTTGAGGAAGGATTACTTTCTTAAAAAAAAAAAAAAAAAAGTTTTATGCCAGCTCAGCAACTACATTAATTTGGACTTTTTCTCTCAGAGGACGGGTGAGCACTGAACCGGTTTCCCAGCGAAGTAGCCACATCACCGAGCTTATCTGAATCCAGGAAGCGTTTAGAGAAAATGCTCTCAGGCACGTGGTGTGATTCTTGGGGTGTCCTGCACAGGGCCAGGAGTTGGACTCGTTGATCCCGATAGGTCCCCTCCAACTCAGCATATTCTATGATTCTATGAAATTCACCCCTTTTCCGCCTCATCCCGGACGCGGGGGTGGCGCCGGCCCTGAGGGAAGCGCTGCTGCAGCCGCGCCCGACGCTCCGGCCGGCGCTTCCAGCGGGGTCCCGCCGGGTCCCGCCGCGTCCCCCGCGCCGAGGGCCGTGAGGGGGGAGCATGGCGGCCGGGGCGGCTCCCCGCGCTGGGTCAGAGAAGCCTGAAGCCCGGGGACGGCTGGGCAGCTCGCCGGCGCTGCCCATTTACAACAGGCGGCCGCCTAACACAGCCGGAAGAAGAGCGAGGGACAAAAGCCAGCCCTCCCCTCCTCCCTGGGGCCGGCCCGGGCTGCCGGGCCCGCTCTGCCTCCTCCTCCCGCTGCTGCCGACGTGGCGGGGCGGGGAAGGGAAGGAGCCGGGGGCGCGCCGGTCGGGGCACTGCTGAGCGGTAAGGAGCGCGGCGATTTCTGCATTTTCTGCCGCTTTTGACACTGGCTGCACCACACAGCTCTGTCCCAGAGGGGAATTTCGAAAAGGGGAAAAAGGAAAATGAGAAGCAGGAAGTTGTGGCCGCTGCGGGCTTGCGGGAGCGGCGCTCCGGCTGCTCCTGCCCCGCCTGGGGCAGAGGGCGGCGGGGCAGGGGGAGCTGCCTGGGGCGTTCGCCTGCGCTCGCAGTGCCCGCAGCGGCCCGCGGTGGAAGAGCGATAGCGGGCGTCGAGCGAGAGGGGAGCAAGGTGCCGTCGCCAGAAAAGTTATTCCTCCCTCCCGCTCGGGAACGGTGATTCGTGCCCCAAGGCGCCCGGTGGTAGCTGGGCTGTGCTTTCCAGGGGACATGAAACTCCTCAGGCTCGGCAGGTGCCTGCACCGCCGGCCCCCTCAGCGCGGCTGGGCGCTGCGGGCCGGGCTCTCCCCCGCCACCGGTCCGGGCTGGCCTTAGCATCTCCTTTACAAACTCCCCGTAGAGTAATTCCCTTTGGGCGGAGCTGTCCGAGTTGATTGGATCACGACAGGCCCACAGATGAGAGGCTGTATGACGCTGACCCTGGGTGCAGCTCGGCTCATGTGTTGTGACAGACGCCGTAATTTGCTGTTACGTGCCGTGCTCCTGGAAGGAAGGTTCAGCAGGCAGCTGCAGGGACCGTGGCCCCAGTGGTACCCAAAGATGATCCAGCAGTGCAAAAATCCATGTGCCCGTCTGTGTCATCCTTTAAAAAGTGCTGGGCTTACTCAGAGCTAATGCCCATTCAAAATTATGAAGTATGTGTGTAAAGGTTTTACAGGTTTTAATAGAGGATCCTCATCTCTTATGATGGAATTTGACTTACAAATACAAAAATTTTCCTTAGGTGATGCTGTCCATCACACAGTGAGTACTGTTACAACAATAGCACTACTTCTCTCCAATAAAGCATTTTATAATATTTGCTGTATTTTTAATGGAAAGCTGTCAAATGCAAAGATTCTAACTTCAGAATTCATGTTTTCTGAAGATAATTAAGGTACAGTGTAAGCTGAAGTAATACAAGTGATAGCAAGTGCTTACTTTTTTACTTATGTTTTTTGTTCACTGTTTCAAAGTGCTGCTCTTGGAACTGTTTATAGAAGTGAGCTCCATTCACATTAGATAAATAGATGTATACAGTTCTATAGACTTTAATAAAATATACTAATTTATATACATGCTTCTTAGGCAGATTTCTCCTAAATCCCAGTTATGTTTTGCTTTTTGCCTTTTTTCCCCCCTGTTCTTAGTCTCTCCTACAATCTCCATTCTTCCTGACTGATGCAAACCTTTGAGCCATATTTAATTAATGAGAGTCAATGAAAAGGCAGCATCTACAGAGAGGACTGTACAAGTCTTTTCATGCCATGCAACTCAACATTTTGCAAGCTCTCTTACAGTCAAGGATTGTCTTCTGAGTGCCAGGTACACTGTTGTTACCAACAATTAAATTATAGTAATGACAGACCAGCAGTCCTTTTGCACTCTGGCAGTGCCACTCCTTAATCAGCTGCAGAGCTTACTCTGTGGCTTTATCTTTATCCATCAGCATCCTCAGCCTGATGACTGCGCAATGGTGGAAAATACCTCCAAAATTACATTGGAAGATAAAGAATAAGTAAGACCAAACTGGTTCATAACTTAAAAAAAAATCAGTAACTACCTCATACAAGTTTACCTTGGCTTCAAAATTGAAGTTTAATCACACAGCTGGAATTTTAGGAGATGGTGAGAAGTGTTGCACTCCCCAAAGAGCAAGACTTTGGGACAAGTGATACAGAAACAGTGTGAGCAGTGACTCTGTGCTATGGCTGTGTGTGTGAAATGGCTCTAGGGCCCATGGCCTGTCATGTTCACAGATTATGCCCCTTCTCAAGCACATGAATGTCACCACAGTTGTAGGTACAGAGAGCTCTCCTCCCCTCTGGCAGTCAGTCAGCAGGCTGTAGGAACCCTGTGTATGTCTCAGCCATGAAAGGGAGAGCAAGAGCTGCTTGGCTTTGCAGCTTGGATTATTTTCTTCTGCAATGATCTTTCATACACACCTGATAGTTAATGTAGAAATTAGCCATGTGGAAACTCCTACATTTGACTACTCCCGACAAATTAATATCCTTTCACTCTCACTAAACCATATTTTGGAAAGCAGTAATGCTGCTCTTTGTATCTGAGTGGGATCCTGCAGAGTGAGTGGAGTTACAGTATTATCCTGATGCCAGTGCCAGCGTGAGGCATGTGCCACAGGGCTCCATGCTCCATGCTTTTGGAGATCTTACATCAAGGTTGTATTGTTTTTCAGCAGCAGCATAGGGTAAACACTGTGTATAACAAACACTCAAATGTTTATGGTACCTAAAAGACTTTGCTTTCTATATTCAGAACTGAAAATGTCTGAAGACGTATCTGATGGCGCCCCACCTGAAGAAAAACCTGAAGTAATGGAGATGCCCAGCAATGAGGTACTGCCTCATGAATCAGTACCACACCTCCTAGAAGCTGAGGTCTTGCATGAGTCTTCACAAGATCAACATGGACAGGTCACTCAGAATGTTAGTAATGGAAAGGAAGGAGACACAGTCATTGATGAAAACCCTTTGACTGAAAATCTTGTTGAAAGCCTGCCTTCCAGCCTGCCTTCCAGCCTGCAGTCCAGTGAAGACACAGCTGAAGACAAGCCCACTGAGTGCATTGAAACTGTAAGCCTTGATACAGAACCTGAATTGGAAGAAACACTGCATGAGCAAGGCAATCCAGTAAGCAATATTTTCTTTTCTCTAAAAGCCCTCCTCTCCTTGCATTGTGAGGACAGGATTTTGTATAATGTATGTCCTGTTTTTCACAAAAACCTAGGAAGTTAAGTGGAAAACCTACATAGGGATAAATTAAATTGCAACACCAAGCTTTTGAAAACTAGTAATAGTTTAATTTCACTTTTCCAGTATGATATTAATTTGGTCTTTCAAGTCTGGTTGCAATGAAACTTGCATTGTGTAAAGGTGATGTGTTACTGGACACATTCTTGAGACAACAGTTTCTTAACATGATTTAAATATGAAATACTGATAGTGGCTTAGCACTAGCCATTAATGTAAAAAGTATGCAGCACCTCCTCTGGCTGTGTTTTTAGTGAATTCAGTTGTTAGGAGTTCCCTGTGCACATCTACTGAATTACACACATGAGGAGACTTAGGAAGAGAAGCCTCCAATTCTGGCTCCTGCCTCCAACCCAGCAAGGAGACAGGTTCCTACCTCTCCCTCATATTAGCCTCAATAAACTGGTATGGCTTTATAGGGTTGGGTACCTGAAGAAATATTAGGACATCTGTAAAGACATCTCTGGAGATTAAAGCTCTTCCAGGAACAGATGATGTGAGCTATGCTTCTGGTTTTTTTTGTGCACAGAAGTTTGAACTCCACATAATACCCAATCTGTCATCACCTATTAAATGCCTGACTTTGTTGCCTGACAGTTTCTTTGTCTTTCCTCCTGCCTCTTGAGAACAAGATTTTTAGACAGTGGAGTAACATTTTTGTTCTTATAGGCTGCAGACTCCTCATCTAAAGCAAGTAGATGGGGAGCTTGGGGTACCTGGGGAAAGTCTCTCCTGTCATCAGCTTCTGCCACAGTGGGTAAGTGTTCTGTTGGTAAAATGCGTGGAAATAATTAATAACTTTCATGTGTCGTTAGTCTGATTAGTGTTGCATCCTAAAGATTCATAGACAATTTTGCCTTGATAAGCTTGGGAAGCATGATTTTTTTAAAGAGGAAGATGGACCTTCCTAATTATTCAAATTATGGACAAGGTACTAGGCTTGTTTGTAAAGTTAATGAATTACTTGATTGTGACTTCTTCATAGAAAGGATCCATAATCCAATACCATTTCTATCAGGCAAAGGCTTATGGTTTCTCAAGTCAAAGCAACCCAGATTTTCATGCTCACTCGTGTTAATGGTTTGTATGCCAGGTTTGACTCCTGCCTACACATGAATTCGTTTGTAGTAAATCATTCAAGCTTTTCTTGCCACCCGTGAAACACTCACACTGTCACACTAGATTTCAGACAGTAGAACAATGTATTACAACATGGGCCCTGTACTCCCTCTCCCTGTACTCTCATTTCCAATGGCAGGTCAGTACAATATGTCCTTGTGAGGACTTCAGGTGAAACTTAATTATTGCTCTTTGAAAACTCACTGTCAAAAAGCAAAGCATAAAAATATGTAGTTATCAGTGGGAAATAATTTCTCACAAACCAGAAATGTTTTGTAACAAAACAATCTGTTAGCTAGTCAGTTCTCATAAAGGATCCACGGAACACTTTCAAAAGATGAACATAGGAATTAAAATTAATTGCTAGTTACTAAAAATGATTCAATAGAGATACTGGTTTTATGATCCCATATAAGGCTTAATAATTCTCCTCCTTATCTCCTGTTTTTCATGGACAGTAAATGGTTTCCGTCTGTTTCTCAGAGGAGGGAAATTTCCTTGTCCTTTTTTTTTCAGTAACATCCACAGTCAGGAGTAAATAACTACATTTTCTGTCTGACAACAAAAATTAATATTTCTAGGTACATTCAGAATGGGTTTCTAGGGTGTGTGGAACAAATTTGTGTAGGCAGTCTGACTTGATAAGGTTGTGTGATGTCTGTTTTGAAGAGGCATGTCATCACCATGAATAAATATTTTTAGGGTTGTTATTGTCTAAAAATGAGCGCAGCTGGAACAAGTCAAGTTGCCTTGGAAAAAGAGCATCCACATGCAGAAAAGGAAAAGGAAAATTGTAGAATAATTTTAATTCAACATCAGAATGGTTGCACTGTTTCACACTGAAGACCCATCTACTGTTTAGGTTCTGGCAGTGACCAAGAACAGCTAGGAAAGCACCTAAACCCAGATGTATATAAAGCAGCAGTTTCTAATTTTCCTATTTCCTAGAATCTGCAGCATAGACAGACTTCCTGACCCTGGGATCAGGGTAGGTTGAGTTTCCATGTTACTATCTAATAATTTTGACTCTAACTTTGTGAATTTATTGAACAAAATTGGCTTTGAATTAAGCAAAAATAAAATTTATGTTCTTCCATGTTTTGTGAACCCAAGGTAACTTGGAAGAGCAAATAGCTAGTCTTAGATTTGTTACAGGAAATCAATGCACCAGGTAATATTTTATATTCCTGATACAGAGGGCTTATTTCCTAGTTGTTTATTATGAAAATTCATGCTTGATCCTCTAGAACACTTAACTGTCTCTCACTGTCATGGACATGATATGGTTCTGAACAGACCACATATTTCCTTCAGTATGATAATTCCCTAGTGAGATATATGGAAAAAAAATTAAAGCTATTGGAAATTTCTATAAGCTTTATTATTATTATTATATATTTATTATTCTTCTCAAATTTACTCCTAATATCTGATCAGATCAACCAACACTTCATCTCCTGTTCCATACCAGAAAATAGTTTTGCTAGGGACCAGTCCATTGTAAAGTTGCTATTCCTTCAGTGTAGCAAATGCTGTAAGTAAAACTGCCTTCTTGGAGTTAAGACTTAGTAGCAATTCAGTCTGTGATTTTTCTGTTGTTCTGCCATCATATTGTACAACACAGCTGCTTGTCTGGTGAAATATGACTAATATCTACTATTCCTAATGTTTTTCTTCAAAATTGTACTTTGTAAAAATAGCGCAAACAGTTTGAGGTGGACTAAATAACATCTTAAAGGCTTAAACAAATACATTCTGCTTTTAACAAAGGGTATCATGGGCCAGCCAAGGTTGGACAGTACCTTGAAAAGTCATCTAGTCAGGGGTTTTGTGGGAAAGGCTTTATGCCTCTAGATGAGATTATCTAGCAAGTTGTCCAGACACATTTTGAAAACCTCTAGCAATGGAGAGACTACCATTTCCCTGGGTAGGTTTTTCCAGTGAATAATTCTTCTTACTGTAATTAATTTTTCTTGCATTCCTACCTATTTTAGACTGAGTTAAAATGTTGTTCCAATGATCTCAGTTTCCTTATCCTTCAGACACTGATAGAGAATTCACAAACACATGAGCATTTTTAATGTATGGCTATAATTTATTTAGGACAGCTGATTTTAGTTCCCAATAATAACTCAGTTTCCATATAGTTTGTACCTCATCCTCCTTTAAGTAACTCTGCACATACAGCCATGGATTGTTTTGGTGGTAATTTTTTATTCCAAAGTTGTCTTTGAATTGATTTTGATATTATTTGGGTCGAAGTCCCCACGACAAGACAGATGTGACACTCCTGTACAAAACAGAATCTGTAATGCCTTTGGAGTTTCAGTCACTGCCTGAACCACGTTTGGGCTCTTGACACTAGATGTCACACTAAGCAAACTATTGAATCAACTTCATCAGAGGTGAAGAGATTTCTTTTGCTCTTGAAAGGTGCAAGAAAGTTCCTTCCTCCTTATAGAACCACAATGGAACAGAACCACTGAAATAGTTGCTGGAATGATGAGATGGGAGAAGGCTTACTGGGATATGAAGGAACAACTTGTACTAATTTTCACCATTTTAGTCAGTGGTGTTTTTTAGTAGATCAGCCATTACACAAGGCAGTCTTTTGACAGTGTTGATAAGCTCGAGAGGGTGACTATTGCAGCTAAATCAGTCAATTAATGGGTAATAGCCACTGAAATGTGTAGTCCCTCACCTGTCTTTTCCTTGCATGTTTCCTCCTTCTCCCTGTACCAGCATTCATGTTCCTCTGAGTTCCCTCTAATCCAGTTTAGGAAGCAAAACTGACATAAGAGTAACTAAAGAAAGAAAAATCCATTTTCTGCCTCTTCAGTTCCTTGATCCGACTCTTTGAGACCAGTTTTGGGGCAAGCAGAAGGGACAAGAGTGGAACATGGGGGGGAGTAGAACCTCCCATGACTGCACCAAGAAGCTACTAGGTTACCTTAGCTGTAACAGCAAACTCTTTATCCCCAGGGCTTATGTGAGGCAAAATATATTTTCAGTTTGTCCTGACAGCTTGTGACTTGCATTTTTAAAACATCTTCTATGCTTTAAACCTTGGGTCTTTGGTTTTTCTTCCAACTAATCTATCTGCTAGCTTAATTAAAGTGACTGCCTTCTGCAAGCCTTGCCTTTCATATGCTATGTTTTGAATGATGTATGACATTCAGAAGGTGCTGAAGTTAGGATCTCAGTGAGCTGCATTTCCAAGCAAAGTCTGTTCTCTATCATCTGTATGCAAATGCTTCACCTTTAGAGCCGTTGCTAAGACTAGAACCTGTCAATACATTCACACAATAAAAGTAATAAAAAAATAACCTAGCTGTTTGATTCATATGATCCCTGAAATTCATACTATAAGGCTGCGTAATGCATCTTTCTAATGTGTTGTTTGTAATTATTGTTCTGCTATCTTGATTATTTTGTTCTTGTGTATATTCTCATCTAGTTCCTTAGCTATGAGAATGGCACATGAAAATATCAGACACCCATACTTCTCCCTGGTATGCTGAAAAGCGCTTTTTGTCACTCAGTGTGACAGAATGAAATGTCTCTTTATACATCACTGTGTTCATGAGCTTGGGTATTATTATGCATGGGTATGTGTAGTAATCAGCATTACATAGTTGACTTCTCTGTGGAACAGAAATGCCAATGCTGTAGATAATGTGAAACTAAAGTATTCAAACAGTGCAAATGTCTTTTCTCTATAGCTATTGCTCTGATGCAAAATAAAGTACAATATTAAAAAAAGAAGTCTGGGTGTTATGCTTGTACTTTAGTTATGCTTGTACTTCATGTGATCATAAAGAGGATAGTTAATCTCTTCAGACTTTTTTTATTTCATAAATTTGGCTGATTAAGGGAAAACTACTTTGGGATGGAATCACATGGTGATCACAACTGTTTTGTAAATAACTCTTCAACTGCTATAGCAGCAAGGCTGGCCCTTTGCAGTTAATCCTTTTTAAGAATGCTGAATGGAAGCTTTTCTCTTTTTTCTCTTTTGCGTTCTTTATGTCTTTTAACATGGGCTCATAGTCTAGAAGAGACTGAGAGCCAATAAAATGTAACAGCCTTTATGCTTATTGCTATTATTGAAACCTTTTATGCTTGCAATAAGGAGATCTGAATCTAGTCGCATTTACTAGATTAATTGGAGTGATTCCTGATTTATAGACAAGATAGCATAGGTGTTACAAGAATCTAGCTTGTTTTTTTTTTTTTTTTTTTAACTGCCAGGAAGAGAAGTTTTGTGGAAGCTTGAAGTGAATGGAGTGCCAATAGGATAGCCTAAAAGGGAGCAAAATGGGGCCCCACTTTTTGGTGTACAAAACCAGAGCACAGCTGGATTGTCCACATCTCTATGCTTCATGTTGTGGAGTGATTCTCTCCTCCAGCCAGTGCTAGGTTCCTCAGTTTCTCATCTGGTGAAAGATGCTCATTTAATGCCTTGGTCTTCCTCTTTAGCTTGAGCTAGATGAGGTTTCACTCATGTTACTAGACTAAATTTTGATCAGTTCTTCATTAGATGTGCTCCCATGGTAGGACACAGGTTACAAAGGCAGTGTTGTAGCCAGGGACAAAATCTCAAACTCCTCCCCATCTGTACCACGGAATCAGAGTCCAGTTGCCTGTGAGTACTAGATGGACAAGGGATGCCTACAGAGTGGTTTAGGTTTCAGACATAGTGAACTGCCCTCCAGGGCTGTCTGTTTGCCTCTCTCAGCCCTGCAGGGAATCCAAAGCTACTAAGCTGGGAGGTGGAAGATAAAACAGCTTGCAGCAAAGTGGGATGGGATCTGACTAAAGCATTTGTGAGTGCTGCAATCTGGCCTTGGCAGATCAGGCAAACCAAAAGGCAGGTCATGTTGTTAGGCAGTGTTAGCAAAACCTTCTTTTTTAAATTAAAGATCCCAACTAGGAACGTGAACAATAATATTCTGTGGAAAGTGCCAGCCAATAGAAAGGCAAGGAATCATGGAGGCAAGAGAAACAAAAGCAATAACACAGGGGAAAAAAGAGTGCTTTCTTCCAAAAGCTCACAGTTAAACAATGCCTACTGCATAGCTCTTCTGTCTGCTGTTACAGAAGAGTAAATGGAATGTCAGAGGTGTCAGCTCAGTTGCATTAGCACACCCAGTGTTACAAAATGAGTGCATCTTTAAATTGTAGGCTTCTCTTCCATGACCTCTTTTACTTCTGTGCCTTTTGAAATTGCAAATAATCATCTTCATTTCCAAGGCAACAGGCATTTCTGCCATTTGTGCATTTATGGCAGTTGTGGTCTTCTGATCTCATCTGGTTTTGCGGCTGCAGTCAAACATACATGCCATATAGCTTAGTTCAGCAAAACCACCCTTAGCTGACCTGGAGTATCTTCTTATTATTCTAGGGCATTTAACCACAGCCCCAAAAAGGCTCCCTTTTGTAGATCAGTAAATATCAATACAGCAACTGTGTGCTTTCTCTTCTTAAATGTGTTAGCTTGTCTTCCAAACTGTGGAAATCAATTCAAGGTGTAAAAAATCACAGGGAAAAATGTGGGAAATTGATCTGAAAACATGTAACTTTTGCAGACAATTCAAATTTTTGCTCAATGTTTAAAGGATTTTTATACGACTACAGGACCATAGTATTTTGTTACCAAGTCAGGTTGATTAAGTCAGTGAAAAGAATAAAACTCTCACACATTTAAAAAGTTGTGAGCAGAAGCAATGGGAAGGAATGTGACATGCAATGTCTATTGTATTAGTGTAAAAGCACAATTAATAGTGATTTGAGTCCCAGGAATATGGGGATTAAATAAATGACTCCAGAATCTGTGCATGCTAATGTTTTCATTGGGCTCATTAAAATATGTGGGAGGCTGGGACTAGACCATGCAGTACACTGCTCTCCAGTATCTGCATTGGAACAGACTTTGCAACAGTCAGGAAATTATCCAGCAATGACTTAAACACTGCGGTGCATAGCCTGGTATGACTCACACAGTTGGATGCACTACTGGTTTTTGTAAGAACGAGTAAAATAGATAAAGGTCATATTTTCTTTAGACAGGTAAAAGCATTTATCTACCTAGGCTGTTACAGTGTGGAACATTGGGACCTTGTGCAGCCTATGAAATTCCTTGTCTCTGCAGGTATTTTCCATAGGCTATATCTGTTCTTTATGTTTACCTCCAGATACTGCAGTTTTCTTCTGTGTGATCTTTCAGAAGTGCTGCTTCACATATGTTTTCTAGAGTATATTTATTCATAAATATATATATTCATAAATCTAAGCTTTCCTTTTTCGTACTCCAACTAGATTTGCTGCATCTTTCTTGAATCAGATGTTTGAAAGCATATTTGTATGACTACACACACAGATGTATATGTTTATTCAGAATGCTGCAGAGCACTGGCAAGTGATAGGCTGTTTTGTTGTAATTAATGTAACTCAGAAAAGACGCTTTGAACTTCTCTAATAGAGTGCACACAGTTATGGGAAATTGTGGACAACACAATCATTATGCATAACTTTGCACCTTAGATGTCTAGATATCAGCCTGACCATCTGTATTAATGCCTTCTCTGAAATAATTTATCTGTTTACAGTTCAGTTTAACCAAAGAAGTATGAAATTGTTATTAACATTTCTCATAAGTTGTTAGGCAGGTAGTTGAAGCAGTCTGGATTGCCCTACTGCTAGAAGTGATCAGTTTCATGCAAGATGCACTAGCAGTGTACAGTACAAGATAAAAATCAAATCCTGTCTCTGAAGCTACTTAATTTTATGTTGGAAAGAAATATTGCTCACCTGGTTTATTGTTCACCTGTTGCACCTTAGCTGATGCACAGAAGCTTCCAGCAAAGCAAGATTAACAAGTGGATTGCTTGTAATGAGAGAAATATGTCATGGACATACTTGTACACATATCCAGAAGCAAAATAGGCAGACAATTTTAGAGCAGTCCTTTTTAAGGGCAGCATTTTTCAGCTACAGTTGATGCAGATTGGGAAGATACTGCCTCTCCTTGACTGACTACAGGGACTCACCAGTCCCTGTGATCTGCTAGTGTAAATAAACTCTCTATTGAAAACCACAAGGCAATCCTGTTCTGTCAAAAGTATTCAGATAGAAACAGTAGCAACATGTATACTTTATATTAAAGTAGCCCATTTTAATAGAGGGCTAGGGATTCACTGCATATGAATCATGTAAAGGTGGTAAAATCTTTGTAGGAGATCACCTGCCACTGGAGCAATAGTTCTACTTGTGTCATTTGACATCAGCAGACTTAACAAAGTGTATTATTTAAATACTAGCTTTGAGGAGAGACATTTCAGAATTTTACTTCAAATGAGAAACTAAGGAGCTTAAATCCTGAAATAACTTTGGGGACTGGAGTCAGTGTCCCTAAAAACATAGCACCTGTGCAGAGGACTGAACAATCCCAGACTCCGTCCTGCAGTCATACACAATCCATTTACTTTGGGTCAATTTTTCTAGAATACTGAAAACTATGTGAGGTGATACCCTATGCCTTAGGAGGACTGTCAGTTTCCATTTAAACTGATTGCAATAGAATATTTAGCATTTTGAAAAGCAGGGAACTAAACTTATGTGGGCCACTGAAATAACTTTTACTTTTCAGATCCAGCATAATTTGTGTTATATTTCAGCCTTATAATTTATATTCAGTTAATATGAATATAGTACAAGTGAATTATTAACCTAGAGAAAATTAAGCAATTGAGGTAAGTTTAATAGATATTTCCTTTGTCATAATTCATGAAGTATAAGAATACTATGCACTGATAGTAATGAGTTTTCAAGTCATATAGTCTAAAACATGCTTCTCCTACAGGTCATGGGATAACAGCAGTAAAGGAAAAAGCAGGAACTACCCTAAGAATTCACAGTGGGAGTTCAGCCTCTCTGGAAACAGCAGAGCCTCCTGCAGCTGAAACACCAGTTTCTCGTGAGTTCAAGTCCACTGAAATTGGACAAAACTCTGACCCTGCCAAATCAGTTCCATTTAGAAAATGTTAAGATTTTGGTCACATAAACCATTTTACTGTAATTTTTGACTTGCAGGGTTGAAATTATGCTGTAACCAGCTTGTTTTCTTTTCTTAGAAGCAGAAGATTCTCTGGCCCAAAGCTCTTCTGAGAATATTCCTTCTTCTCCTTCATCTGGATCTCGTGGCATGCTGTCAGCTATCACTAGTGCTGTACAAAACACAGTGAGTCATTTTAGCTGATCTCTCTGCCCCAGTTATTATTTGTTCTTTTTCGGTTCAACTTCACTGTAGGTCACATTTTTTAAGTTACAGGTCTTTGTAAAAACAGTTATTTTGTAAGTCTGTTTAGAGTCTTTTCCATGACAAAATAACTTTAAAATTAAACTGTCTGATTAAAAAATAAGAAGTCAAACAAAACTAACTGAGTTACTATGTTTTCACCAGTTTCAGTGAAAATAATATGGTCTTTTCCAAAACTGTGTAGAATTTTGCAGTTTTGAAAATCTTTTTTATAATTGTACCATCATCTGATTATTTATTTTTACAGTTAAGTCCTTCCAGAGAAAGTGGGATAGGACTTGTTAGCATTTTTGAAGGCAGATAGCATAAGAAAATACTCCATTTGCTTATTTTAAGGCTTTTTACTAAGCTCTCTATTTTTAGTTCCTGTCCTTTACCTTCACCTCTTTATCTAATTTCTCATTTCATACTAGCCTTCCCAGATGGGGCTCTGATTGCAAACTTAGCAAGGCAAAATCTTTTGCTCACAGTTCTTTCCTAACATCCTTATATTTTGTGTGTTGAACTTCATCATGTACCATACCATTCCCAAATCAATTTTTGTGTTATCTTCTTCCCCAATTTTTTCTGCACCTGGTGTTTCACTTGAAATTAAAGAAGACTTTAAATATTTGCTGTAAAAGCATAGAAGATTAATTCCCCACTGAGCAAGTTTTATGAAATGGCAGTTCTTTTTTATTGTATATCCAGTTCACTCTGACTGCCTCATCACTCTAATATCAAAGATTTTGGGAACAGAAGGAGATTCCTATAGATTATTCCTAAGACTGTTTCCACAGAACGTGGAGCATCATATGGCTTGTAGAGCCGGCTGGCCACCAGTAAGATTACTTGAGCATTATACAAGATTTGCAAATAAGACAAATGTGCTTGTAGGCAGCCTGGAGAGCTGCCATACCACAGTGATCAATGTGGTACAAAAAGAATCACTTGAGGTCTCAGTAATATACCTGTAATGCCACTTGAGACTTTGGAAGGGTTTTCCATTATATGTCGTGTTACATCAGCACTTGAGTATCTGACACACACATAATCCAGATTGAAATGGAAATCTTTAGCCAGTGAAACTTCTTCTTCAGTGTACATAAAAAATGAAGACACAGCAAAACATATGTATTTAAATAGACAGTTCCAGAGTCATCGTAAGTGTTAAAATTTTAAAAATCCAGTAAGGCAGAGTCTTCTGTTCATGATGGACTTGGCTCCAGATTATTCATGTCTAAAGCAAGTTCCTACAAACCAGATGCCATTGGATGAAATTAAAGTGGAATAGAATAGAATAGAATAGAATAGAATAGAATAGAATAGAATAGAATAGAATAGAATAGAATAGAATAGAATGACAGAGCCACAGAATAGTTAGGATTGGAAGGGAGCTTAGATTGTCTACTTCCTATGCCCCTGCCTTGGGCATGGACACCTTCCACTAAACCAGGTTGCTCAAAGCCTGATCCAGCCTGGTCTTTATAACGTCCAGGGATGGGGCATGCACCACCTCCCTGGGAAACCTGTTCCAGTGCTTCACCATCCTCATAGTGAAGAATTTCTTCCTGATATCCAATCTAAATCTGTCCTTTTCAAAGTAAAGCCATTCTAAATCTGTCCTTTTCAAAGTAAAGTCATTCTAAATCTATCCTTTTCAAAGTAAAGCCATTCCCCATTTGTCCAAACACTGCTTGCCCTTGCAAAGTGTCCCTCTGAAGCCTTCCTATAAGTCCTGTTTAGGTACAGGAAGGCTGCTGGAAGGTTTCCTCAGAGCATTCTCTTCTCCAGGCTGAACAGCCCCAGTTTCCTCAGACTGTTTTCAGAGGAGATGTGCTCCAGCCTTTTTACGATTTTTTTTTTTAATTTACAACAATTGTTACATTTCCTCTGGTGTAAGTTGTTCAGTTAACTGGAAATATTTGTGTAGGTTTGTTTTTGTTTGTTTGTTTTTTTAACATATTCAGAACAAAGTAAATGCATCAATCCTCTTGTTGGCTGAAGTATAGGAAATTTGAATGTTCAAAGAAGTATTTGAAATTTGAATGTTCAAAGATGGTTTCTACAAAACCGCTCAACACTCCTCTTTACAGTTCATATTAGCCTAAACTGGGAAGAAAATAACCACAATGCATTATTTTATACAGGGGAAAAGTGTATTATCTGGAGGCTTAGATGCTTTGGAATTTATTGGGAAGACAACCATGAATGTCCTTGCAGAAAGTGATCCTGGTTTTAAGAGAACCAAAACACTGATGGCACGAACAGTCTCACTCTCTCAGGTTGGATATATTTAAATACAACTCTGTCAATGCAATTTCAGATTCTTTTTCCAGAATTTCACATACCTCAGGGAGAGGCTTTATTTATTGCAGTAGATGCTGGCTGGGCTTATGGAAATAAATATTAAGCTTTACAGTTGCTCTACTTTATTTTTCTTCATAGAACGACAAAAGATAATGTAAAATAATCTTTTCTGCATAATCATATATGCAATTGCTGATTTAAATAAGATAGTATATGTGGTGATAAATCATTACACTCTGGAGGCAAAATCAAATTGTTGGTGTTTTGGTAACAGCTGTAGATAGATAACTTTCAGCATAAACATTACTATGCTGTTTTCCTTGGAAATCAGTAATTCTGGAATATAACATATATTTCGTTAGGAAGTAAGCCTATAAAATGTTGTATCTCAGTGTCCTTCTAATTTAATGGTATCCTTACACAGCTGTGATTTGTGTTTTAAAGCTCAGAGATGAGATAAAAACAGAAGTATTAATGCTTCAGTACAGAATTATTTTAGTTCTCCAGACCCTGAAAGGAGGATAAACAATAGACATTGAGAAGAAAGTATATTTACTGCATGTTTACTTCCTTGTAGAGAAGAGTAAAGTATTTTTTTTAATGAGATGTTTCATCTTTAGTATTTGTCATTGGAAGAGTTAACAGACTTATACTTTTATAGTAGATCCAAAGCAATTAACTTTTGTTGAGGCCCACAGGGTTAAAATGAGCTTTTGAGAATGTCTCCTTTAACAACATGCATGGATTTGCACATAGAATCTGAGGCAGCATGCAGCATAAATCAGTTCTCAGGGGTTGCACTATTGCTTTTCAGTGATTTGTTCATAAAACTTTGTGAGTTAACTTTTGAAGATGGAGACTTCAGAGGAAAAATGTACTGTAGTGTAAATTTTAAGTCTTTTGTACTAAACAAATCACTGAAGGCAATATTGTAGGAATTTGAACAGTGGAATAACATAAGTGGTGGGAGTTCACCTGTATTCAGAGACTTGCATGTGACCTGACATGTGGTTCAGATTTATTTACCACCTTTACTGTAGGAAATTCATGAGAGGCCACTTCATCCAGGAACAGAAGGAAGGAGGAGGAAATCCTACTGGGTATCCTATCCTATCCTATTCTATCCTTCTTGTACACTGATGTGAGTGTATTAAAAGCCCACCAAAATATACCCAAGTATATAGAGAGTAGTTCTGCCCCATCTTTAGTATAAGTCATCAATCTCTTTTGTCAGTCCCTCTGTCACATAAAACTGACTTTAGTATTTGCTAAGAATATTTTATAGAAAATATTTTTTATGCAAGTTGGTGGATAGGTCCTGAAAATAATACTTTTCCCATTTTGTGGTCTGTAGAAAGGATTGCATGGCTCCTTAAGGCTGCACATGAAATTGTCCTTTCTCTTTCATTATAATGGGTGAGGAAATTTATTATATGGTATCTATAGCTGATATTGCTTTTGAAAATATAAGCAAAATATTTTTTTGTTAATTGTATTTTAAAGAGAGATGGTTAGCAATTACCATTGGGAAAGCCCTGCTTAGAATAGTATATAAATATTTTATCAGAGAAAATTATCAAAAAAGAAGTTAGCTATTTCATCTCTAAAATTTTAGCTCTGCAGGTGTGATATAGTCCCAAATTTTATTACTACTTCTAGACACATGGAAGCAGATAGTAATAAAATCTGTCACACTTACAGTACTATCAATAAAACATGGAATGATGTATATTTTTACAGCTGTTGCGAGAAGCCAAAGAAAAAGAGAAACAGAGGCGGGCCCAGCAAGTTACAGTAGAAAGAACAGCACATTATGGACTACTTTTTGATGAATTCCAAGGTTTGTCTCATCTTGAAGCTCTGGAAATCCTGTCAAATGAAAGTGAAGCTCAGGTACAGTATGCAGACAGCATAAATCAATATGGTTGGTAAAAAAATTTATCTTCACATTATGTTTCTTTTGCAGATGCATGTAGAATAAACTGTAAGTTTTCCATCAAGTTCGGAGAAAGCTAAATTGATCCTATGGGTTAGCTCTGGGTTTTAGAACTCAATACATCTAAAATGTAACTGCAAGAATAACTCAAAACAAACTTCATAACTGGCAGGTATTTTTGTTAGGACCATATGTAGTCTGCCATACACAGCTTGTGACACTGCAGATGTCTTGCCAATTCCTTGCAAAATTTGCAAGGAGGTTGAAATCTTTTGGTTGAAATCAGGTCCATTCGGGAATTCCAGACCTACTACATGTGGAGGCTGCTGAATTAAAATTAGTTCCAGATTACTTATGCAGTTCTTATTGTGTTGGTTTTTAAAGTTACATAGAACTACACCAAGATATTATTACTGGAAGTATAGAAAAGTCTCTCTGAAGATGGTAGTGTTAATAAGGCCTATCTGATAAATATGTATTTCAATTTCAACTCTCAATTTATTTGCTCTGCTAGTACATCAGTAGATTGCTGACAGTGGGCTAATAGAATTTTGTAGATTCCTAGTGGTGATATTTTTGTACTGAAACAATTTTCTAAGTAAATTTTTTAAAAACAAATTTTCTTTTTTGTTTGTTATTGCAATTAGCATTCTTTGCCCTGTGGGGTACTTCTTAAAATATGGCCAACTTATGTTTTAAAATATTTTATTTGCTCTCATGAATAAAACAAGCTTATGTTAATAACAGTTAGGTGCATACTGTCAATGTTATTTTTATTTTTGTTACTACCTAGATGAAAAACTATACATTCAAAGCACACATGTAAGGTTCAAGGGTCTGGTTTTGGGAGCAAAAAACAAAACCAAAAATGGCCAAACACCCCTACGCACTAAACAGGAATGAGATGGATAGATAGATAGATACATACGTACATATATACATACATACATACATACATACATACATACATACATAGAAAGCAAGTTCAGGCTAATTGCATGTATCAGCAGTATTTTTATTTTACTGTGAAATACCACAGGGTAAGCCAGCCATGTGCAGGTTGTTACCACAAGGTTTCTGATGCACTGTGACTGTGTGGGTCAACAAGCCCAGTACTCGGATAAATGTTCCACTTACCATGCACAGATGCACCCAGACACAGAATACAGAAAGAGTACTGTAGAGAAACTTGAGACCACTTCTAATAGCCCAAAAGCCACAGGAGTGCAAGAGGTACTGAAGACATGTGTGTTTAAGTTTTTATTTTAAAAGTTTCCATTAAAAGAAATTCCCAGTTAGCCCTTGAAATGGATAGTCCAATAGAAAGGAAAGAAAAAGACTTACGTGGCCTTCCCAACCTGACTGGAGTGCCACAGCTTTGTCTGGGGTTTAACCCTGAGCACAGGAGCTGGACACAAGGACTCACCAGTAAGAAAGTAACAGCTGTGTCCAGCCTTGCACTGAGGTAGAGTGCACCCCTGTCCAACAGGCTTTAAGAAAGCCCCTTGAAACAAACACTAAGGTCAAACTTTGTACCAAGGGGAGTAAGGGCATTTCTCCAGGCTTCCATAGACAGAAGGATCGCTCTGCTCACGGAGTTAACAGCATCTAACTGTAGTACAGTGATTCAAAGAATCTGTTTCCACCCCTCTTAGGTGTGCCATCCTGTTAGATATGCAGGGACTTGCAGATAGCTGAGACATGCAAAGACCTGCCAATACATTCCTCAGAACAGGTAGATTGTCAACAATTTTGGCTGCATTTTGAAGGCAACCTTTTCCATCTCTTCCCATGAGTGCTCAGACTAACCATTGTGCTCTTTTTGCCTGCTGCCTTCATCCAGGCAATGCCAAAACAGTTTGCAGTTAAACAGTAGATTTATAGTTCAAAACTCATGTTCTGGAAGAAGGAAGGGACCTGATGATGTGGCAAGACTAGTGTAATTTTTGTGGTACTCAACAAATTTTGTTGACAAGTTCTAAAAATATGTCTAAGATGGGAGATTAGAGACCAGATTTGAACATAATGAAGGTTTCCATTCCTTAGTCTATTTTGGATTCAGGCTCTAAATTAGCATTTAGTAATACTGTCTTTTCTTTTACAGATTCAGTCACATTTAGCAACACTTGATGGAGAGCAGTTGGAGACTGTGAAAAATGATTTAATTGCTATAAAAGAGATCTTTGTTCCAAAGGAATTAGATGATGAAGTGGTGCAGGCGCAAAAAGGTAATTAGAATTACAGAGACTTAACCATATGAATAATTGCTACTTTTTTATCCAGTAATTAAAAAAATTCCAGTCCAAACTGTAATTTCTGATATCCTAATAGTCTTCATAAGGTAGTTACTAAAATGAATACTCAAAGTTCTGGAAGCTGATCAGTGCTTAATTTTGAATTTATATTTTATCTGAAGTATGAATTATGCAAGCATAAATAAATATTAAATTATTTTGCTATATCATCAATGAAAGCAAAAAATGGAAAATAACAACTTTTTTGATAACTAAACTTTTCTTACTGGATAATCTGCAAGTTTTATTTTTTTATTGGATAATCTGCAAGTTTTGAAGTACTTAGAAATGATTTTCTGTTCAGCAACTTCATCCTCACTCTGCATCCCCCCTTTCTAGATGGGGGAAAAGATTTGAGTATCATAAAGAAATTTAAGAATCCTGAATTTTTGAGTGAAAGTGACTTTGAAACACAGTAGCAAGCTGCTTTATAGGTTTTGCCTAGCAAGATGTGGCACGTGGAGTGTGAGAAGGAGGTTAGAGCATCATAAGCGTTTCCATGACTGAATACAGTTATGGCACAGCATTGAAGAGAATGCGCTGAGCTCCCAAAAATGCAGTAAAATCGGTGGGTGTTTTGGTTAGGGGCAAAATATGTGTCTTAAACGGGTCAGAAATGTTAGCAGTTCCCCAAACAGGTTAGAAGAGAAGGGTAAGAAATCAGCTTGAAGGCAGCGTGGTTCATGTCTCCAGGCCTGTGAGATCCACACCAAACCTCTTAGATCCACAGCAAAACCCCTTGACCTAACTGAAGACTGGGTTATGCCACTGAAGGCCATATTGCTGTGTTTTGGAAGCAAAGAAACATAAAAGGATATTTCTTCCACATCCTCTTGATCTTCTCAGGGTTACTTTGCCCACAAAACCTCCATTTTGCAAGATGGTGAGATAAGATTTCTTTAGCCTTCAGAAGAGTTAGCAAAACTGTGTTAACATTCACATGTTCTAACAGGAGAGTAATTTCTTCTCAGATTGCTCTTTCTGGTAGTGCTTACTCAGCTTGCCTGATCCCTCTCACAGGAAACTCACTGTTTCTCATTGAGGGGAACAGCAAGTGCTCAGCATAAAGTCTTAGTGTGGTAAAGTTTTGTGCTGTTTTTTTCCCCTCTTACTTGCTCTTTAAACCCCAAACCTCTATGGAGTTGTGCAAAATAGAAGTCAAGAAAATGTATTACCTGCTTAGGAGTGAGGATTCATGAGATGTCTGTTGTTCCATAATTTCTGTGGAAAGTAGTTCCTTGCTTTGAAGCCAGCTCCCAGGAGAAGCTCTGTTTCTTGCACAAAGTGATGTTTTCTCTGAAGGTCAGAAGTTCTGGTTTTTTCAGTAAATCACAACTGCTTATCCTGCTCCTTGAAACATTTACAGGGGTTTTGAATGGGCTGCAACCAAGACAGTGAACACCTTAAAAAAAGAGACCAAACCAAAGTGTGCTGCAGATTTGTCCTTGCAAAAGCAAACCACTCCTCAGTGAAACACATTCCTTCCTCCTAAGGCTGCGGAAACTGGTCTGACTGTTTTCTGGTACAAGTAGCAGGAGGCCGCACACATACCCTTCCCTCTAATGTTTCCTCTCACTTTGATTATGCAGCCCTTTCATGCATTTTCCATTGCAGCTTCATTTCAGTTGTTTATGAAAAAAATAGGAGAATATTTGAAAATGTGGCTTTACCTGCATTTTGAAAGCTTTTAACACCAAAAATTTCATACGTGAGGTTAAATAAGACAGTAACCACAGTGAACAGTCAATTGAATATCTCAGTTATCAATAGTTTTGGTGCATATACATGCACACCTCCACACATTCCTTTCTTGTGCCACTGTCATTATTTTAGTGCTGGAATACTTGGTGAAACTATTTCACTGGATGTATTTGATCATATAAAATACTATAGCTGTAACACTCTAACAAAAACTGTCTTGTTATTTCTTGCAGCAGATACAGGAGAAGAGTTTGTCAGCATGCTCACAGAACTGCTCTTTGAATTGCATGTTGCTGCTACTCCTGACAAGCTAAATAAGGTTAGCACCTGTTACTGAGCTGCCTTCAGTTTCTTGGGCAAAGAAGAAGGGCTTTGTTCTAAAATCTGACACAGAGCAGTACCCAGTTCACTGCAGACAGCTCAGAAAGCAAAGTACGGCAGACTGAGACTAAAATGGTGAATATAGAAAAGCTTTCACAGAAGTGAGATAAGTAAGGCAGTGCAGTTGGATGAGCTCTTTCCAGTGTTAGAAGGCTTGAATGTCTCAGCAGAACAGGACTCATGGGAACAGCAGATCTGTCCTTGCAGACTGGGAACAAAAGTCAGGTTCAGAATCATTCTTCTTGCTCTAAAAGTGAGTTTTATGCTACTCTCTGTAGCCAGAGAGCTACTACCACAAAAGTGAGATGTCTGGGAGCTAGTCACATAACTAGTCACGTTTTGTACTATCAGGTCCCTTTAAAGCTGGTTCATCTGCTGGTCTTAAGCTCAAATGAGTGTTCATCTCTCTAGCTACATAGATAGACTATGGATAACTAGCTTAGGCTTAGGTCTTAATGTCTTTTAATTTGATTTCATGAAAAATTTCTGTGTAAATTCTTTTGAATGATAAAGGTGAAATATTAACCTTGGAATTAACACCAGCTGTATGTGTTGGTTAGGATTATTATACCTTTAGAGGAATTATCCCTGGATGATCAAGCTTTATGCAGTCCAAAATGCTTCTCCCTACAATTTCTTAAGTGTACACTTCTTAAATGCCACTCTGAGGTTTGATACATTCAAATTTCTGAGTATAAAGAGGAAGTAACTAAATGTATTGTTAATTGATGTTCAGGAATGTCATTTCAGTCTCTTCTCAAACTGAACTTTGGGGTTGGGCTCTTTGTTTGGCAGGCTAGGAAAAAAGCTCATGAATGGCTGGAAGAAGCCAGTTTGTCCACCCCAGTAGACATAGAAGAGGAGCTAAATGAAAAACCTGAAGAACCTGGTGAAGAAAAGACTCAAACAGACAATAAAATTGAGAGTGATAAAACAGAAGTAGACAAAAGCAAAACTGTGGAGGTAAAATAACTTTTGGAGGATAAGTTTCATTAAGTGATAAGATTGTTTCTTTGTGTGTTGGCTTTATATGTCATCCTTAATTTTTAAATTCATGAAATAAGAAATAATAACACACAACTATTCACTGTAGACTCAGTTGAAGACTAAATTGCATAAATATTCTTACTGTTATTCTGGTAAATATCACAGTGGCAGGTTCTCTATCCCATTGTTTTTATGGTTTTATATCTGTGTTTTTGTGTGTAAGCATGTGTATACTCAACATACAGTGAGCTGAGGGATGCTGAGGTGTAATGTCAAACATTACATGCACACTGAAAGTTGTATCTCAATGTTTCTTAGTATCTCCTTCTCTCAGTGACAATACATGGGAAAATGTTCAAACTATTTAAAGTTTCAATCATAAACAGACAAAACAGAAATATTATTTAGGCAACTAACAACTGTTCATTCTGTTTATGGAAGATAGCTCTTAAGGCTAAAAGTGTTCATTTAGACAGTTCTGATAAGGTTAATTGTGATGAGTATTTTCTGTCAAGTTAATGGCAATACTAAATATGATTGTTATCTTTGTTGAGATTATTTCTAATTAGAAATTATCTGTCGTGTTTCCTTACAAAAAAGTCTAAAGAAGCAGACAGAATATATACACTGTATATATTACAGATTTTTATGTGATTGTAGATTACCACCTGGCATCAGCTTGTGAAAGCTGTGACTCCACAGTGCTACATAAAGATTTCTATAATTGTTGATAAAAGCCAATTTTTTATTGGGCACGTTATCTATTTCTGCTCTAGAGATTCAGCTGAGGAATGGCTCAGTACTTTTGGCTCCCTATGAAAATAATTATGATTGTGACTTATTCTAGAGATTAGGTGTCTTTCTGTTTGTTAGGGCAAGGTTTAAAAGTGGTATGTTGGAAAATCCAAGAGCCTGACCTGGTTCCCAGCCAAGCAGACAGTAGAATTGATCTTACTAATTTTTCAGTGCAAGTAGAATGTCTGTATTTTATAGTCTGTGGATATTTAATTTTCCAGTATTGTTTGTGAGGATGGCTGATTTGATTTCACCATGTATCTGTTGGTATTTCCAGTTGGGGTAGGAAGGATTCCTATATTTTAAATTCTTTTATATCTATATATCTATAAATATATTTATCAGTGTTGTTATTATTGGTTATATTATTCCCATTTTTAATTTAAGGAAATCTACATGCTGTCCATTGAAAGTCTGGCTGAGGTAACTGCTCGTTGTATTGAACAGCTTCATAAAGTAGCAGAATTAATTCTACATGGGCAAGAAGTAGAAAAAACAGCTCAAGATCAAGCAAAAGTACTGACAAAGTGAGTAATATGTACTTCATATATGAACATTTGACATTTGCATAGAACTCATGAAGTTCCATTTAGCTTGAAGGCACAATTAGTTCATGGATCAACAAACAGCACTGGATTTAGGGGCCCTGGTGCTGTATTTTCTCATGAAATCAGGTTGTATAGGCTACCTGTCATTCTTTGACATGGCTAACATATGGATGTGTTACAAAAACATGACCTATACACAGGCTAAAAGTTGTTTCTGCTCCAGCAAGCAAATGTGCCAACTTGGGTTGCATTTCCTGTTCCCTCCGCAGAAGATACTGTGCCTGCATATATGGAATTTGTTTTTAGAGTGTATAATGCAGTCCTGTTGTCTGCCAACAGTGTTTCATTATCTAGTGTTTATCTGCCAAAAAATATAAAAAATCAATTTGTAGCTCTAAACAATAGACCACATTTGTTAGCAACTTTGTAGTTAACCATAGTGAAACACCCAGAATTTCAAGAAGCCAGTCTGTCTAGTGGGGCTCCAAACTCAGATATCAAGCTCTCTGTAGTTATTAAGTCCACTGATTTCAGTAAGTTTTCGTGTTAAGATATTTTAAACAATTGACTCCTAAGTAAGTAAAATATTTAACCAAGCGCTTGTCCTTAAGAATGCTACTAAGAATAGCAAAGTCCGTTGGAACACTTCAGTCTAAAACAAAGCACTTATTAAGTATTTTTCAGAATCAAAGCTAAGGTTCAGTGCACCTTGCAGGATGAGGCCCTATGGGATACACTTGGGAATGTCTAGGAAAACAATGAAGGATCTCAGAACAGAATTGTTCTCTCATATTTTAACCACAAGTGGTCTTTCCCTTTTAGCACAGAGTAGATGTTTTATTGTTCGTAGAAGACTTCTCAGTGTTCTCATTCAAGTTTGATTTATTTCCAACAGTATTCCCAGAAATTGTGTTGCTGCAATCATCAGAAAAAACATAAACTAGAAGTTAAGAATTTAAACAAGTGAAACATTGCACTGTCAAAAAAACCTGGTGTGTGCAACAACACATCATTTTGCTGCTGTAGTCAGCAGTGGATTTTTCAGTGAAGGAATATAAAATCTTTATCATGAACAGTTTTGCCTAAATATTTTAAAGATACTTAGAAGCAAAGTTACTTTAAGAACATCTTTCCTTCCAAGATAAAGTTTTTTTCCAAGATGGGGTTTTTATCTATTAATAGGTCAAGAATGTATTTTTATATTTGTCTCTCTTATTTTTTTAAACCAGTTTAACAAGTGCCATGTGCAATGAAGTTTCATCTTTATCAAAGAAGTTTTCTAATTCTGTAACAGCAGCTGGGGTAAGATGACAGCATTTTCTGTAGCATTTGTGCTTTTTTTAACAAAGTTCACCTCTTGAAACAGAAATTCTTATGTGGATCCAGAGGCTTTATATCAGCAAAGAGGCCACTTCTTTCCTCAGGTCAAGAACACAGTGCATTTTTACAGAGGGAAAGTTTATAAGCCTTGTAAAATCTCTCTTTCTAGAAACCACTTCCTGTTTTTCCTGATCACCACTCAACACTTCTCACATTGAAGGGCCCCACATTTGAAGTTACACAGCTTGATGATGATTTCTTCTCCAACTTAGCCTGTCCTTTTGAACACATTTCTGTAAAAGTCATTAACAGATTGTACTTGCAGTACCTTAAGATGGTTTCATGAGTTGTCTTCTTAGCCTTTACTAGATCCCCTGGCTTAGCACTGCAGTGTTTTCAAAAGTTTTAAAAGATTAGAAAATCTGTTTGGTCCAACTTTAAAAAAAAAATCACTCTGTCTTCTATCACAAGATATTCTGTTTAAGAACATCAATTTATCTGTGAACATCTTTGCTAGAAATAGTATCCTGCCTTTCAAGATGCTTCAAGGATGACTGACATCTCAGTATTATAGCAGGATTCAGAGGTAAAAATGGTGCTGTTGCTGAAATCTTCTGTAAATATCAGAGAAGAGCAAATTTGGGTTCTCCTGATTGTTCCATGAAAACATGAATGTAATTCAAATGAAATTTTTCCAGTTTTCCATTAGCTCTTCCAGCACATCTCTGAGCATGTTTTTTCATAGTTATTTGCTAAGGATGTGATTTATGTCTTTCCTTTTATCAGGAATAATTTACATAACTTCCAATTACTGCAAGGAAAAAATGCTTATTTTACATTTTGGGATTGTACTTTAGCATATATCTGTGGGACACTTGAAATAAATGTATGCACAAAAATATAAAAAAATTGCACACAAAATATTAAACTGGCCCACTAAACAGTGCATTTTGTAATGGATTTTCTAGTAACTGAGAGTAAAAATGTAATTCTTTTCTCCGACCATCTCTCCTTAGTTCTGCCATCTTTCTCCAAACTAAAATTAAGAAGTTTCATGTTTCTGTAAATCTGTAATATGAGAGATGCAAGGCTGTAAGTGGAAATCCTTCAGTTAAATTAATCAGTATTGTGTTCAGTGTTGAAAGAAAGCAACTCTTGCTGGAGGTTGCTGTTGTTCTAAAGAACCACAATGCAAAGAACAGTGGGAATAAAAAAGGGAAGAACTTTTGCCATTTTAAAAAGTAGAGGAGCTAATGAATCTTGATTTTCTAGCCTCTAGTAGTGTCACTACTCATTGTATCCATCTGTCTTCCTATCTGGTGCTTGAGAGGAAGGTCATGCATGTTGAGCTGTTTCACTGGGCAACCAGCACTGCCCAGCACATGTGCTGCCTCCAGTTTGGGGATCTGAGTTTCACCTGGTTTTCCTTCTGTCAGGGACCTTTCCTCTGGTCCTAAACACAGACATTTGTGTAACTTCTAAGAACTTCATTTTTCTTCTGACATGTCTTTTTCCTTTTGGTGTCCTTGAAAATGAGCAAGGAGTTAAAATTTTTGTGGGATGTGAAAAGGTCACTGATAGACAGATGGCCAAACAACGTCATTACATAAACCTCACACCTGTAGGAAAGAAGCAATTTGAAACTCTGTGGTACATGAAGTAATGAAGAAGTAAAACCCTGGGCCTCAGGGTTCGTTGTACTCTGTGTTAGAAGTGCATGGGGTGTTCTGAGGTGGGGTTGAAATGCAGACACAGTTACTAGCAATGCTGAGATAAACAGGCTGAGTAAGAATCAAGGTGAAAGAAGACCTCTACAGAATTCACAAAACTACATCTCTGATATCAGTATATTTCTGTTAAGTGTATTTCTTGACCTGGCTTTTCATTCTGTTTTCTGATTTACAGAGCAATATGAAGGCAGAGGTTCTTAACCCCATTATTAACAGTGTGCTATTAGAGGTAAGCTCCACCTCTTCACGTTAGAAAATGTTCTAATAAAATTATTTTAAATGAGACAGGCACATTTATTTCCAAAGGCAAAAACTATTTAAAAAGTAATGACAATATCATTCTGGCTGTTTGGTGCCAGAACATAAATTTTGTGTTCAGCCTCTCCCACAAATACTGTAGCAGTCAGGTTGCATTTACTGAGGATTCTTAAGGGCTGCATGACTGAAGTGAGGCTGGCCAGCTCTGAAACTCTGCTGCTGTGCTGGTCAGAGCGCAGTAACAAATTGCAGACTATTCTTTGCAGACTGTTCAGACTATTTTTTCCTTTAAAATTTGAATTGTAGGTATGCTACAGGGTTTCTCATCTGCTGGTATTTAGATTTTTGCAAAGATTCACTGTCTAGCAACAGCCTTGGTCAGCACATGGATAACCATGTATCAGACCACCAAAATGTTCATGAGTGATTTCTTTTATTTGACACCATGTTCTGTTTTTCTTCAGAAAAGCACAGTGAATAAAACATACTTCAATTTTACCAATAGGAGGTTGAGATGAAGTAATATCCTCATAAAGTCCTGAAACTCATAGGAGCTGCAGCACAAGTTTTTAACTCCATTAGATGACACTTCCCTTAAAGCATAAAGAAATATATAGTAGTGACCATATATTGTCACTCTGTGTTTAATAGCTGCATTCCCTTAAAAATAAGGAGAAGATTGCTTTACAATAGGAAATTTTGCACTGAATTAACAGTACCTTTAAGGAAAATTAAGGAAAGTTGAATAGAACTGTAGTGAAGACTACAATGCAGTTCCTTTTGTTATAGGGTAAATTTGCTGTAGCTGCTGACTTACTTTCCTGTGCTCCAGGAACTGCAAAATCTAAGAATATTTAAAATTGTGGAATACCATGTTTTGTACTTCATAAATCCTATAGTTGTGTACAAATATGTATTAATACAGTCTAGGATCATGGAGAATTACAGGGCACTATACTGTTCAGTATTAGAAATTCCAAAAATAGTACTACAAGTTAAAACCATTATAATTTGAACTGTTAATTTCAGTGACACTTCTCCCACCTACAGCAAAATCAAAATTAGTTCAGTTGATGGAAAGACTAGCTGGTTTGTGTTTAAAAGTCAAGTCTGCTTCTCAACACTGTGGCATTTTATTCTACCCATATTACCAACAAAACTTAGAGTTCAAACTGAGTGGCAGTCAGATTTTTGTATATTTATTCAGGCTATGCTATGTACAGATTCTAAAATCGTGTGTGAAGACAATGCTAATATAGCATGATACAAATGTAAAAAAAAAAAAAAAAGAAAATAAAAAGTCCAGTTTCATTCCTGAAGTACATGGCAGCTGTACTGATGACCCACATGTTTTCTCCCCCCTTTAGGGCTGCAACAGTACTACTTATATCCAGGATGCCTTCCAGTTACTGCTTCCAGTTCTGCAGATTTCCCATATCCAGAGCAGTTGTTCCAAAGCCCAGGAGCTGTCAGCTTGAGAGCAACCACAGACCCAAAGTGTTGAGCTGTGCCAAGAGAAGGGCTGGTACAGGAGATGTCTGGCCACTAGAGTTCTTTGAAGACACTAAATGCGGTTTTGCACACACAGTACTGAACATTTTAGAACTCTTTCAGATTTTAAGACTTTAGAAGTAGTTAGTAAAGTGAGTAATTTCTTTTCCAGTGCAGTTCATGCTTTGCATTAATTTAAACAGAAGTTTATTGATATTAGCATTGACTTAAATACGGATTCTAAATGTTGACCCTTTCAGTTGTAAACAATGTATGAAACAAATTGGAATGTAAAGTTTCTTAAAACATTTTACTTCAGATTACCATTTATATTGTTTGTATTGTAACTGCAGTTTAAAAACTATATTTCAGAAGATGGTTTCAGTATTTAATTTTTGCCAACATGAACAAATTATCAAAGTGTTGAGCTTGTTAAGTATTATTTCCAGTAGCAAATAATAACATCATATTAATTTGTACCACTAACATAACACTTTGTATTGAAGGAGTTACACAGCAATAGGTATTAACTTTACTAAGTGAAAATTATGGAGGTTATGCATAAAGAATTATACTGAAAAGAAATTTTCTGAGCCAGTTAAGATTACGGGTGTAGCTCTGTATTTGCTGACCCATAAGTTTATATTAAGTTAGGTCCATTTCATCATTTCAATGGCTGAGCAACAGGAAACAAAAGTAATCTTTTTCATATGCAGAGGATAGAAAATTTCCCTTTTGTTTGGCAGTCAAAACACCTGCTGAACAACCTTCTCTCAGACGTACTACTGGGTTAACACTTTGGGGTTTACTGATGCCTACAGTTCAGAAATAGAAGTTGTAGCAAGAAGTTATGAAAGAATTCCTTTGGGTGTGGAGGTCGTATGTCAGAGCAATCATCTTTTTTCTGAGGCAATAAAAAAAGTTAGGGCATAAACAAGCAATAGGAATGACATTTCATAACAACACTAGCAACCATGCTAATTTGTCCATATCTTTAGTTTAAAATACTGAGCTTGGACCTAAGAATTTGTTTGGCCTGGTTTACCTCTTAGGCAGGAAGAACCTTCCAATATTTTACATAGCCTGTTCTCTTGAATTTTTGTCATTTATTATGTTTCTTTCTGTTATTTTGTATTTTTTTCTTCTGGTATACTCATTAATTGTATTTAAATGCTAATTTTTACAGTTAACATTTTAATATGTTTAAGCATATTTCATACATCATAAAAATAATTAAATAGTGTGAGGCAGTTTCTGTGTTTGATAGAAAAGAGAAACTGTGCATCTACTTTGCACATGGTAACTTTTTTGAGTCCAAATAAGTGGACAGAAAGGTCTTTTTGTGTTTTACACTATTGTTCCTCTGTCACACTCATGGTGACTTTGCCATTTTTTGTTGTTTAGAGATGAAATTTTCCCTATCCCTGAAATAAGGTTTATTATGCAAAATCTATTTCCTGGCACCCTGTAATGTAACAGACATAGAGATATCTTCCTGGGTAAGTAGAAGATGTACACTCTTCAAATTCATTTGCACAGGCTGAATATAACATCAGAAGCCTCAGGGGATAATGTTTGAAATCCCTGAGGGGCATTCTTAAGACAAAGATTGCTTGTCTGAGATACTCCTTACTAGAGGTTCATTATCTTGCTTAAATTATGCATTTATGAATAAAGTACCTTACCCTGAAGTAAAAGAAAGTATAAAAAGTAACATGGAGACCTGAAGTATTTACATCTGTTCAATGTAGGAAGGGGAACAGGGCAGTATGTAAGCACAGGGATACTCCCATCTGATGTTAGATTCAGTCATCTTGTCCTAGGAAAACTGAATGTCATATCTTTAAACCAACTTTAGATTGACTTAATAAATAAAATTCCAGTAGAAAAGTACTGTATGGATGTAGCCAGAATATTTTGTTTACACTGATTTGTATTTTTCCACCAGTCAAATAATTTGAGATACTGAACTGAGACAGTACAGTAAAAGGGAGTGGTTTGAAGAACAATGTGATGGGAGTATATTCTCAGTGAAGTAATTTAATTTCTGATTTTTTATTTACCTTTGGAATGATGAATGGGATTTTACTGTGAGACTGACAAAAACAGAAGTTGCCTTAAACTTTTAATGGAGAGTGTTCTTTCTTTCATCACCGCCCTTTTCCAGGTTATTACACTGAGCCTGGGCACTTGACAAGACACTAGTTTTTAAGTACTTGTGAAAATTACCTGTTTTCTTGAGCAGATGTGTTTTCCATGGCATTCCATTGACTTTTGAGCACACCCACCCTGTCATGCAGCAACAAAGGAGGCAGGCTTGTGCACTGACTAAGTTCAGAATTTGTCAGGATGAAACTTAAAACAATGTCTGCATGCCTACAGCCTTGCAGATGATCCACAGTTACAGGTCATCCCTGAAGAACAAGCTGGAATTAGGCTGTTAAAGAAGTAATTTACTGAATCTTAAGGATACTGACTTCTTTTTGTCTTGGGTTTGGGGATTTTTTTTGGGTAAACAAACCAAAGCAAGCTGAAAGTTGTTCACTGCTTTTTAGGGTATAGTTTATTCATGTGTAAACATCTCTTCCCCATGAGTTCCTCCTACACTCCAGCTTCCATTGCTAGAGACAGCTGAACAAAAGAACTGTCTCTTCCACTTTTTATCATGCTGCTTAAATCACCCACTGAAGCCTTTAATATCTTCCTCCAAAATGTGCCTCAGTAATATCATACAAAATCACAGTCATTACCAGTTGGGATGCTTTTTAATGATGTGTGTCACCAGTAATGTCCAGTGTCACTCACCAGTCAGGATTCATAACAATTTCAAGGAGTCTGAAACACCACACAGTATTTGAATGACAAATTTCCCCCCTTTTTTCTGACTCACAGAAGTGTTTTTTATCATACAAGCATTCACCCAGCTCATAGGATTATCTTTGAGACATTCCAGTTCTATTTGAGATGACAGCCCCATCCTTTCTGCTAGTCTCAGAAAAATGTAGAGCGTGGAAAAGGACTTTCCTGAGTTCTTTTGAAAACCATCTCAGAGTAAGGCTTAACATGATGCCATCAGCCAGTCTGACCTACTTTGGAGTTCTTGCAGTTGGACTGGAAAGCCCTCTGGACTTTAAAACCTTTATTCTGTCTCAGGTCAACCTTTGTTGCTGAAGCTGCTTTTATTGTGCGACTTATACATTTTCCATGCTGTCTCCTACTTCAGCATTCATATTGATGACAGTGTGCAGTTTTAGAATTAAAAATTGAAAATAAAATGTCAAAAATTCAGCTGTATTAAAAAGATGGGAGATGGAAATTATTTTCAAAAGAAAAAACGAAAGACTGTGCTCTCTGGAAATTAGAACCATTTTTGAGGTTGGATTAGAGAAAAGCCTCGAAAAATATTTTTTCAGCATTTTTCAGAGTAAACAAGAGATGACATCTGATTAACTCAGTAGAACAGGAATAGTGCACTCCTGAAGTAAAATGAAAATCTGCATGAACTGAAAGGTAGTCAAGAGGTGGAACATTAAAAGAGGAAGAGCTCAAAGGAAGGAGTAGAAAGGAAACAGGAAAAAGAATAGGTAGGAACAGTTAATTTGATCACTGTGGATCTGCAGTGCTCATCCTCCCTCTATTGGCTGCCCTGCAAAAGTCTTTGAGCACACGTTTGCCAAGAACTCCTTAGCAGTCTCCCCACTTTGATCTCCTCTTCACAGCCTTCCATTACAGCCTTTTGAGGACCTACCCAGAGCACCAGGTAATTCAAGTAATTTTTAAACACCTTCAGAAGTCTCTCAACCCATTTAATAGATTTGGGAAAATGCAGCCCTGCACTTCCAGCCCTTTGAGATCTCAGAGACTGTATCAGCAGCTTTCTGGTGCTGGCATTTAAGATGGTCTCTGCCTTCCCTCCAGTTCCCTTTGCCAGTTCAGTCCTGTGTCCATTTTGCACATTCTCTGCTCCATCAGTTCCACCTTCCCCACCAGTTCTGTTCACACACACACCTCTTCTCCACCTTCGTGTCTCTTTTCCCTTGCTGATTTCTTAGGCTCTTCCCTCCTGCCCATCATCTTGTGCTTGAGAGGCTGCACCAGGACATCCTTTCCCTCCTGACATGTTCAGTTCTGACAAAGCCAGAAATAAGGACAAGGAGTTCCAAGGATGTGGGAGGAGAGAAACCAAACCTCAGGAGAAAATGGCAAGACTAAACCAGAATTACTTCAGGATCACATTTTTTGTTACCATCCTTACCGATGTCCCCCCGTTCTTCCATTATTTCCTGTAGTTTGGATCATAGTTAGAAGACAAGGTAAAGTTTACCCAGCAGGCAAAACTTGAAAGAGCCTTTTGGGTTTTCTTGTTTATGGTGTTCCTAAAGGTAACTTGGAACCTTCCAGGGTAGTAAAGCCAAATACTTGGAGAGCTGTGGGATAACTGTGAGTAATAAAATAGGAAATCACAGTTTATTTGTCTAAGGAAAAGAGGTAGGTTATAGGTAGCAAGAATAATAATAGAATTAAATTATAGAAGAAATAAAATTAAGTTGGGGTCCCAAGAAGCAGGGCTGCCCCTATCAAGATCTCTAGAACTGAAGGGGAAAAAGTGATAGATAGCTTGAATTACTTGAAGCATTTAAACACTGACCAAAACTGCCTTAGCAACTCTGTAGTGAATTGAGACAAATATGTCTCTTTGTCTGTAAGCTGCTCTCTATAATAAGCAGAAAACAACCAAGAAGCAAATTGTGAGAGGCTTACTTTATAGACTGTATTCAAAACTCTTCTTCTGAAAATCTTATTAAAAACTCTGCTTCTGAGAAGCTTCATTATTACTACAAACAAACAACAAAAAGCCCCCAAATCAAGAAAGTATTTTTCTCTTATTTTTTTAATAAGATGGTAAAATAAAAAAAATAGAAACAAATGTTTCAGACTTATCCAACAAAATGCGAAAAGCATCTATATGCCCTCAAACATAGCTAATTTTCACAACTATTCCTATTAAATCTGAACTGCTCAGTGTAGACTGGAAAATTCAATTTCAGAAAGCTTCAGGAGGGAAAGGCTGTATAAATGTAAGGAATGGAGGTAATGAAGTATTTACTGGATGCTAAATTGCTGCCTATCGTGTTTGCAATGGGCAGTTTACAATCTGTTCATCCTGATGGATTTAGCACAAGGGAGCCTGAAGTCCTGGCAATTTCTGTCTCTGCCTAGTGACTGATGGCTAAGCTGTACCCACAAATCATTTGTTAGCACCAAAGGAGTTTGGGACCCTGCTCAGCCCAAGCAGCTCCACTGCACTCAGAGGAGCAGCAGTAAATGGAAAGTAAGGAAAGGTTCCAAGAGATAATGGGTTGGAATGCTAATGATCCAAGCTGGAACAAAAGATGGAAATGCAATTTCTCAAAAAGTACAAACCCATTTACTGTCTTAATGAGTTATCAAAAATCTATAATAACCATTTTGTGATTTGAAGCCAAATTAGTATTTTTCCACATTTTTTCTTTATCCACTAAGGTATTGCACAAATTATCATGGTCTTCCTGCTTTACTGCAGAAACTAACATGCTGCTGAAATCTTTCCTTCTGTAATACTTTGGCCACCCTTCTCAACAGCCAGAAACTGTATCTTTTAGGCATCTTAGTCATCTAGAGCAATAAGTAGGTTGAAAATTGTGGGTATTTCATGAAAGTAGAGGATAATTCATGGCTTTATACAGATTTCTTATCCTACAGAATATATAAAATAAATTTATGCTCTGATAAAAATATGCAATTATCATAAGGATTACCTTACAACTAAATATGAATCCTGAATGAACAGAAAATAGATGTGAAATCTATACTCTGCTATCAAAGTTGTTTATGCAGCAAAATATGCCTGTTCATCAATCATATTTTCTTAACACAAAGTAATTATGATGGGAAAAATGGAACTTGTCAACTAAAATGCATAATTGTTATTCCCATGAAAAGATGGATAACATAGCCCCCCAAGCTGGTAATGGGGATGCTTTCTTCTGTGGTGTATGATGTGTCTTCTTTGATCCAGAAGTGCTGGTATTTCATAGGGTGATACCTGAAACTAAAGAAAATAGTATCAGGAAAAAAAAGAGGAGGGTAAGTCTTCTCTAATTTATCTCAAATGTCATAATTTTGATATTCACAATAATGAATTCTCCTCTTTATTACAAAAGAAAACAACACTGTAACTAAAAGACAAACAAAATAGGTGATGCAGATCAGGTTGGAGCAAAAGACTGAGACTGATACCTGGCAGCTGAGTAGTGGCCCACATACCTGCCCCACCAGAGTGTGACACAGGAACTTGAGCAAGGCACACCAGGCCTTCCCCCTTCCAGGGAAGCTGGCAATGGGAGGGTGAACATTCACCACATCCACCTAGCTGAAGTGCTTTTCTGTGCCCAACTGCATTTCCCATTCTATACTGCTACATGGCAGGACAAATTTGGAAATAATGAAATGAAAGCAGCTTTTTCCACATTCACAAGTGAACTGCTTCTCACTAACCATCAATGACACTTTCAAATTTGGATTGCAGCTCCCAGAGCTCACAGATTCCAACCAAGCTTGTCTTACTTTTCAGGGAGAAGAGGGAGGTGGAGTGGAAGTACAGGATCTCTGTTCTTCTAACTTGCACACTGAGTGAAAAAGCAAATATAGCTTGTCACCCATTCTGGTAGTTCCCATAGCTGCAGGCCTGATTACAACATCTGTCTACATTTTCTTTTACATGGTAGGAACTGGGTTCAGAAGTGTTCTTTGGCTGTGAAATCATACTGGAGGCAGCAGCTGCCAAAGTGAGCTAGAAAATGACAAGTGTAGGCAGGACAGACTTCATCAAAAATTGATGCCAGCTAATGGAGCAGCGGGTTTAAACAGCCTGCACAGTGCCCCTTCCAGTCCAGTTCTGCCAGCAAGCAGGAGTGCTTCCCTTGGAAACCCTTAGTGTCTCCTTTGGAGAGAAACACAGCCTGGCATGCATTTAGTGCAGGACTCAGTAACTGTGCCAAGTACCCTGGAATGTGCTCAGCAATCTGATTCTGTGAGCTCCTCTGTGCTGAGAGGAGTTGTCACTTTAATGTGCAATTAAGACTAGAATCTCTTACGGAAGCAGAAACAGGAGGAATTACCTTTCATGATATTTAAAAAATAAATACCTCATTGAGTGCATACAGTTCTGAAAACAATTTAAAGCTGCCTGAGGGCATAAATCATAGAATCATAGTTATCAAGAGGAATTATGGTGCAAAAAATGAAGTCTTACAGAAATGGCCAACCCTCAAAGCCAGTAGGTCAGTATTAGTAAGAACTTCTCCCTTCAGCAGCTTCACACCAAATTTTATGATAACTTTAATGACAGTACTATCACTTCAGAGCACTGAAATTATGCTTTTCAGAAAACTGTCAAAAGGATAATTGGAAAGATCCCAGCAATTTAAAATCACACCTACTGTTCTTCACAAATACCTGCCTGAAAGCAGCTTAACTGTAATCTTCCTCTCACTCCTGAGCTCACTCGTTATATGCCTTTGCTAGAATGTCTTTTGAGTTTCACTGCTTTCTCTGCATAATTCCTATCTTCTGTTGTTTGTGTGGGTGTCTTGCTTGAAGACAGATGAGAGAGAGATTCTTTTAAATATGAAAACATTTTCGTAAAGCCACAATCACATAAGGAAAACAGGCAAAGAATATTTTTAGTTGCACTTTCTGTTTCTACTACTAAGTTCAGCAAAGATGGCATTTAAAGACCTCTTCAGGAAGGCAACAGCAGCTTGAGTGAAAGCCCAGGTGATGCCATAGGTATATCTGCACTGAAATTTTCTTGGCATCACACTGGGATATGCACAATCAAATTTCTAATTCCTATGGGAGTGTTTCATTAGAAAACAACGATGGTGACGATATTCTGAATGTTGCTGGGTAAGACACAGCTCTCATACACTTTTTGATCTCTTGTGCCAACCCTTGCACCCATAGGGGGTTCCATGCCCACATGTGTCTCAGATTGTAAGAGAAGAAAGGACCCATCAAATTCTTCTATTTTACAATTTTTTTGACAGAGGTTTTCATCTTTTTAGCCGTATACTGTGTGTTGCTCCTGCCAGTTACCTGTCATCTACCTTATGTTCCAGTTTTATAATCCATTTCGCCTGAAGATAAGGTTGTGTCTTAAATTCTATATTCACTGCAGACCAATTTGTCTGATTTAACTGTGCAGCTACACTGTCATTCAGAAAGAACTACAGAGGCATGAAGCATCTTTGGTGTTCAAGGATCTCAAAGCCCTTCACAAAGACAGATGGCAAAAGGCAGTGTACTAAAAATCGTTGGCAGTTGCTGATGTGGAACTTTCATTAGTTTTATGCAGTCTTTGACGTGTCTACCAGTTTTATTATAAGAATTAATGCAATGCAGGACACCAAGATTCTTTTATCTTGTCCTTGAGGCATTGATTGCCAAAGAGATTGATGCAGTAAATAAAATGTCTGGGAAATAGTGACCAGCTTGTGTGAATTTGATTTAGCACCAACTCAGAGCATAACACTGGGCACTTTCGAGGAAAAAAAAAAGTCCACAACAGTTGGCTTTGAGACACTGAGTTTTTATTTTCTTTCTTTCCTCATAAAATGGCAGCACTTCATCCAAGAACTGTCAGGTCTATCTGCCCCTAATTTCCCCAAACAGAACACTGTTCTGTCCCTGAGCATTCATGAAATCTATTGATGCTGCCTTTGATCCAGAGAATACAGTGCTGCTTCCCCTTAAGCAGGAGAGGACAAAGGTACTGCAGGAGAGGGCTCACAGGTTCTCTTCACGCTACATGTGGCTTTTATTCTGCCCTGACCACTCTAGGACTGAAGTGCAGCTTTGGTGTGAGAGAAGCCAGCGAGCCCCCCACAGTCTGCCCAGACTCCATGTGGCCCCCACCCCAGGGAAAGACAGATTGTCACAAGGGCAGGACTCAGAAAGTCACTCCTTGAGGCAGGTTTCTTTAGCCTCCAAGGGAAAGGTTAGCCAAAGCCTTCCCTACTCAACAATGATTTCACAGATAACCACCAAAACCCCCATATTTCTGAATGCTCCAACACCTTCATCGTACACATGGGTACAGTGATTTGGCTCTTGCTTGCCCACTTTCATTTCTTACTTCAATTATTCTTTGCCCCCACTGTTTAGGGAATGGCCATTGAATCAAACACATTCAGAAGTGCTAGTCCTCATGGTTTTTCAAACCAGATATACATCACACAGCATTTCACAGCTGCTGAAAATAATATTTTATGGAAGTAGAGTTCTTAAAAGTACCAGTTGATGCAAGTAAAGCTTTGTTAAAAGCAATCTCTCTTTTAGCTGAGGATAAACAGTTCTTTCTTACAACCATGTGAATTAGGAGGTATCATTAAGAGAGACAGAAAAGTCGTGTCTCCAGAGCCTTATTCTGGCATGCTCTTACCTGAACTGCATTGCCTCTGAATGCAAATATTTGTCCTGAATGCAAATATATGCCCTGAATAAATGTTCATGCTTCCAATCTAAACAAAATTAGGGTAAATAATGTCACAATCTTCTCACAGCACTAAGGAAAGCTGTCATATGTTATCCTGGCCAGGACAGAGTTCATATTTTGCAGTAGCTGTGAGGGGATGAGCCTGGAGCTGTGTGGGCATGGCTAGGAGATTATTCTCTACCACCTCAGGTCATTGCCAGGAGCAGGACTTTGCTTCCAAGGAGAAGGGTGTTCCTTCCAGTGGGGAGAAAAGTGGTAGGGAAGAGCCAGTCAGTATTGTCCCACTATTTCTATATACCTTTTGTATATTTTGTCCCACTATTTCTATATACCTTTTTCTATATACCTTGCCTATACCTTTTGTTATTGTCTTCTTATCTCATTGCTGTTTCCACTAAATTGTTCATATCTCAAGCCATGATCTTTTCCTTTTGTGGTTCCAGTTGGAGGGGAGGGGAAGCAAGCTGCATAGTGGTTTTAGAAGGACTACTGAATAGGAAAACACCATTCCTAAACCACAACATATGTGTGTTTCAAAACCTGAGGGACATGGCTCATTCCTTGTTTTCCAGGACAGTTGCTAATATGGTAGTTTAATGAAAGATGGCAGAAACAGAGGATTCTTACCTTTGGTACTCAAGTGTAGTTGTAATAGTTATTGTGAAAATACAGAGTCATTAAGGGATCTATGCTGAAAAGATTCACCTTTGGCAAAGGCACAAGTGCAGAAGTTGGTGCATTTTTTATTAGCTGAGTTAGCTGTTGGTGCAATAGTGAATAATGAAGCATTTGGGTGCATTTCTGTGTGCACACAGAATAGATAGATATAGATAGATATAGATAGATAAGATAAATAGATGATAGGTAGATGATAGATAGATAGATAGATAGATAGATAGATAGATAGATAGATAGACAGACCAACCACACAATTGGATCTAAGTATATTGATAAACATGGCAACACTTGTACGGTCATACGTTTATCAATATATTTACATTTCATAATCAACAGTATTGTCTTAAATCTAAAGACTTAAAAAATACATTTATAGAAAGAAATGTCTTTTTCTTGTTATTAAAAGAAAAACAGTGGAAAATTGCAATGAGTAATTGATTATTGATACCTCTCTCAATCTACTAGTAAGAGCAATACTTCAATGTTGCAGACTGGAGCAACAAGCAAAGAACAGGCAAATAGATCTCTCCTGACCATTCCCATGGCTAAACCAATGTTTTTCAGCCTTTCATCTTTCCATGTGTTGTGTTAAGGGCCACTGCTGAGGCCATCAGCATGTTCTCCAGCTCATTAGCTATAATGATCGTGATCAGATTTATCCTTGCTTTTACATTTCCTCCTCCTCACAACTGCTGTTACACCTACCACAGCTGCTGTGTAGGTAGTCTCCTGACAGAGAAATCAAACACTCTGTGCTGTGGTTAATGATTTCTCTGAGTGCAGCTCCAGCTGGCTGAAGATGAGGAAAAGTATAACTCGTCTTGCCTGTCTGATTCAGGGCAGGCATTGAAGTAACTCTTTCCAACCAGACAGAAGCCAGGTTTGAAGCAGGGAAGGGCAGATGGTAGCAGTATCCCTAGTGAAGCTCTCTCAGGCTTCCAGCTCTGCCTAGAACCCCTCGTTATTTGAGGCTCTTGTATCAGTGATCTGAAATGCACACTCTTCAGGGGAGAAGCTGCCAGTGGTACAAAGACGGTGGGTTTGATCAAGAAGCTCCCTGGTACATACTTCTCATCTCCAGCCCACCTCCTACTTCAGAGAAAAGCCCACGCTTCATCAAGCTAATGTAGTCTAGAACTGTCTTTGGCAATTCTGGGAATTTGATTATTTTTGCATTTTTCCAGCCTCAGTACTTAGCTTCCATGTGCAGTACTTGTAACACAGCTTCTCCTCGTTGAGTGAACGAGTCTTTAGCAGCATTCTAGAGACTTCACATTCTAGAGACTTCACAGAGACAAACCCAGCACTCATGCAAAAAGCAGATCACAGTTTCCTTCCCCAGCCTCAGTTACCACAAGCACTCATAGCTAGCAAGGTTTCCTGGAACTGAGGCACCCACAGACACAAGCAGTAATGACGTGGATCTGACCTTATCAGATGAAGTGAGAAGAAGGGGGTTTTTGCAGGAAGCAAAGCAAAACTAAAGCAAAAAGTGCTTTTTATTATTTTCACAGAGTATTTAGCTCTAAGAGAGTATTCCTTCAAGAAATGTATTCAAAACAAAACATGATGAAAGGCAAGATCTAGATCTAAGTTTCTGCAGCTGGTTTATTTAATAACATTTCAACACAATGTCATGTAACATTATAATTTACAATGTAGTCAGCATTATTCCCACATGTCACATCTGAATTTCACCTCACTGCCAGCTGTCCCTCTGAGAGGAAGACTATCTGGAAAAGCAAGCCTGCTTCTGCACAGCACTGAACAAGGCTTTTGGGCTTTCTCAAGATACCTAGTCTTTTTCTTTCAGTTATTCACACAGAGATTAAGGAAAGGGAATAATTAAACCCAAAGTGTCCTGGATCTCATGTATTGTCTCACAGAGGAACCAAAAATCTGAAAAGCTGTTCCACCCCTTCTTTCTATCCTTTAGTTCCTAACAGTTAAGGTAATAAAAGCAAAAGGTCACCCCAACAGTAACTCCCACCTCTAGCAACATGAATGTTAAATTTGGACGGGAATGAGCCATGACTTTTTCCCTCTGCTTCTAGAAGATGAGTTTTAGGTGAATGCAACATCCTGGAAGAACAGAATTAACAAAGCATGCTAATGATCAGCCATAATATGTAAAAGTGAAGGCAGGTGAGCACCTGCTTAGCAGCACATCCCATTTCAACCTTAGAAATGTCCTATTTTTAAGCCAAGAGTAAAAACAACAATTAAGTTGGGCAGGTACCTGGGAGATGTGGATATGAGAGTCGACAGAGACCAGAAAAATAAATGGTGTAGTACTGAAGTGTCTGGGAGCAATCCCTGCAGAAAAGGAAGAAGCTGCCCTACAGAAAGGCTAAGGGGGCTGGAAAGCACCTGCTCAGTCAGAAAGTGAGCCCAAATGGCAAACAGCTGAACTCAGATGATCTGGGAACTACTCTCAGCTATGTCACAGAGTTCCCAAGTCATGTCATCTCTTTGTGTCTCCTGACAGCCTCATTTTAAAAATAGTAACAGTAACAACTTCTTATCTTTGTAAGTCTTCACAAGATCTATGGATGACAATCACTTAAACAGGGGCCAGTATTTTTAATAACTATAATATACTATCGTATAACCCAGCTAGTCTCATTCAAACACCAAAAATTTCTCTAGCTCAGTTATTAATTTACTATGGAATTACCTCATATTCTGTCAGCAAAGCTGTTCAAAATTTTTCATTTAGTTCTGTTCTGAATGTGCAATTTCATCTTCATCGTTCCACATGAAGCACAAAAATCAAACTGCTCTTCAGTACATAAATTTTTTAACACCATAAAAGAATAGCATGACATTATATTGAGTTTCCAATAAAACTCAATCCAATTTAAATAGAAATATAAAAGAAGGAACTCCTTAAGCCTTTAATGTAAAAAAATCACCATACACAATAATATCATGTGTGCAAGTAGCTATCACCTGATCTATGCACTATTAGTCTGTATTACTTATTCAAGTAGCATCTATTTTTCTAGTCATTACAAGCATTTTCAGGAAGAGCTATCTCTTACTGCACATTTCTATGAAGATTTGGTTCCTTACATCTGGAATTCCTGAAACAATTACTGCAGCACAGTGGCTGCAGAAAGTTAGGACTGGGAGATTAGTCTTGGTTCTGAACAGAAACCAGCTTCTCATCATTCCTTCTGACTGGTGTAAGAACAACAGAGTGATCAATTTATTTTGCTTGAGGAATTTTATAAGGAGGCTATTTGTTTCAAATGTGGAATTTTCTTCAGAGATCATTTGCTAATTGCTATTTTCCTCCACCTTATAAAAACAAATGTCAGCACAGTGCTGAAGTTTAGGACACAATATTTTGCACCAGAAAAAGTGTCAGAATTTGCACCAAGGTCTGCAGGGGCACACAGGGTTTATTAGGCTAACACATATGATTATAGATCACTTTTGGTAGCAGAAGTAAAACTGATTCTCTTTTCATGCCTAGCTCTCACAAAACACATTATCCAGTTTTTTATCTTATTCACTTGGCTAGAAGAAGTAATAATTATTTTCCTCGGATATCCACACTATTAATTCTAAATATATGAGGCAAACCAGAATAATCAGGATTGTAAGATGTTTACTTACCTTCTACAGTTGTTCTACGTGACAATGCTCTTGTTCAGGAATTACAGATAGTCTGTTTGTGGTCTGTGCAGGAAGTGGAGCCTGTTGTTTGCTGGTGTTCACTATTGAAAGTTAAAATAATTTTTATCTATATTATTAACAGCAAATATATCTACAGAGTGTTGGACTTGCATATGCAAGTTTGAAAAATAATTGAGACCTATCTGAACACAAGGCAGAGATGCACAGTACTGAAAGTACAAACCATGTTTGGTATTTAACTTCCTTTTAATGCTAGTAGGACTACAATGTCCTGATTCTACACTGATCTGGGAAGCAGCTTGAAAGTAGGCAAATAAATTTGTGAAGAAATTGTAGTGAAAATCCAAGAGCATGCAAATTTGAGATTATGTAAGTGCCCCCCAAAATACAAACTCCTAAATTTGGCCAGTTAAGCAGAAACAATGGAAATTGAGAGAGCGAAATTCCTGACTCATTTTCACATAAGGGCAGCACAGATTGCCACAGGCACACGTGGTGTGGCCTCAGCTCATTTGTCACACACACAGGGAGAGCTACCAGGTATCACCCAGTTGTCAACAAAGCTGACAGCATACACCTCAGAAGCAGGAATGGGTGAGGTGATGCCTTTAGCACACAGATCCTGATACAGTATCTCAGTGGAATACTGATAAGGAAATGCAGAGATAACACTGTCAGGCAAATGCATGCGGAGTTGTTTATCCATTGCATTTTTCAAAGAACTGCTGTAGAACACAAATAATATTTTGATTCCAGGTCCATCCTGTCCCTGACTATCCATTACTTCCATAAACCTACAAATGGGTTTCCACTGAGCTAACCATAAGAGGATAAACTGTGCCATTCATATCTAGCTATGTTCATTCTCTACTGACTACATCATTTGGGCTTTTCTTTTTACAAATGCAGTTTAAAAATACAGTTTGGATCTTGGCACTCAAGCAGCTGAATATGAAAAGAAAAGTAAAAAAACTAAAAAGTTTTTTAAAAATAACAGTGGATCTTGTTTGACCCTCAAGATGAATGAGATGAATCTGGAGAGAATGGGAATAGAGGCTGATATCCCCTTCAGTGCCTGTGTGTAAGAGTGTTCTGCATGCATGCAAACTGAGCAGAGAAAAGGTCCTTTGTGCATCAGGGCTCTATGGAAAGCATACAGGGGCTATAAAAAGTTACCTGCATCCTATAGATTTTATCCTTCTTTTTATCTGAAAAAAAAATTTAAAAGCTCCAAAGTCTTAATGAAGCTTCACAATTTTCTTGGTTATGTTGCATTTCAGAAACATGTAAGTCTATGTTAAATATTGAATACTATGAGAAGCTTTCCTTTTGCCAATATAATTCATGTAAATTGCAGAGGGAAAGATAATTATTCAGCTATGTCAGGAACTGAGAGGGACCACCAAATAGGTGATGTCTCAGTTGGCCAAGATTAAACAAATTTCTCTTTCTTGCCTTGGCATCTATTTGCTGCTGTAGAAGATGTGTCTTGCCTGTTATCTTTGCTAAAAAGAAAATGTATTGCAGAATACAAGAAGGAGTAAGTCTGAACTCACTGGGATGCCAGCCCTGACACTGCTGAGCCAGCATTTGCTTCTGTTTCCTACATGTCAACTAACCTGAAGCTATAGCAACACATCAGAGATATGGCAGAATTTCCCCTATTTCCTCTAATCTTGTGGGAAAGGAACTATTATTTTAATAGGATAGCACAGAAAACAATACAGCAATTCAAATGAGAGGGAATTTGTCTTGCTGTTTCTTCTGTGGAAATTATAGCTGTCAAGCCCACTTGTATCAAATAGTATGGATGTCACAAACCCTAAACAGTCCAGGAAACAACTGCAGGCCAGGAAGCCTGAGGTTTTATTCTCTGAATCCTGGTTGTCACTGTGACCCTGCAATGCTCTTCTTTCAGGATGAGTTATGAAACCACCATCCATCAGAATTAACTTTGCATTACTGTGAGCCAGACAATTGAGTCAAGAAATCTTGTATTTGTACCCTAAAATGTAAGGAACCAAACTGTGACTCCATGAGCCAATGGAGCATCACTAAAAATGAATATTTTGTTTGAGCAATGTAGAACAAGATATTATGCTTGAACTAAGGCTGCCCACACAGACTGTAGAGCAATAACATGATGATTTTAACAATATGATTCCCTGTGTGCATTGTCCAGTTCTAGTACAGGAATGAGAACAAGCCTTTTTTTTCTAACACATCTTATGCCACATTTGAAATACAATCAAAATAAACAAGGAATGTTGTTCTTACTCTAGGAAAATAAAGTCTGAATGGGAGTTTATGGTGATAAGATTCCAGTAATATAAATTCCCACTAAAGTATAACGCAACTAATTATGTTAGTGAATCTTCCAGACCCTACTAGGCAGATTCAGCCTAGTTATTAAATGCCCTGATTTATGCAACCTCATTCCTCTGCAACTTATTCTTGCCTTTTTTTTTTATTTTGAATGATGTAGCATACAGTCATGCACACTGGCCTGCTCCCAACAAGTAATTTTGTGCCATGTGCCCAGGATTAACTTTTTTTTAGGATACAGCTACATGAGAATAACTACACTTAGTCAGTTACTAGACTGGAAGAGGTACCAAAGAGGTACCCAAGTGGTTTAGGGAAAATGGGCTAAGGAAGAGGAATAACAGCAGGGTAAGTATAACTTTCTTCCTTTTATCTGCATTGGAGACCGATTTAAGCAGCAAACTGCAAATGACAATTCAGCAGTTTCTATCTGAGTTCTTTTAAAACTCTGTGGGGAATACATTCTACTCCTTCTAATTGCCATTATTAATTTATTAAGCTGTTCTAAAACCTCTTCTACTGCTTCTTGAATTTATGAAAGCTCTTCAAAGAAATTCTTGCAATAAAATTCTCGAGTGGGAATCTCACTAAGATTCTCTGTAGTAAATGCAAAGCGAGGAAGTGGCTTCAATGGATCCTTTTCCATGTGTTATTACTATCAAGTTCTATTTGATGAAAATCCTCTGTGCCTCTGTGTCTGGAAATACAGATCAGCCACTTAAAGAATACTTCTTGCATTAAAAAAAGGTATCCTGTCTTCTTTCACTTGTCTTGTGGATGCATTCAAGGGAAACTCTTTTTTGTCAGTTCATACCATTCAAGGGACAGTTACTATACATAAATGCAATGGCAGGGCCAGCTCTGAGGTCTAGAAAATGTTTGCATAACCCATGTTCTAGTGCATTCTTTTTTAGCTTTACAGCCCAGACAACATTTAGTTAATATTTATGATAGAATGCTATTAAGCTCCCCTCTCCTCACTATATGTGCTTAATCCTTTGCAGTACTGTGAATTTGGAAGGTTGTAAATTTAATCCTTCCCCAGAGAACATTCTGTACATTTTTGCCCCTTTCCTCTGGTCACTGGACTTAATGACAATGATTTGTGGATATAAAGCCACTAACAGTTTTACAGAACTAACACCCATGCTGTATATTACTTTTTTGTAGGACTACAGTGACATTAAGCCAGTCATTTACTAAGCCTCCTGAGAATTCACTCCCATTCTCGAAGTATAGGCTTCCCTCTTTTTCTTCCCCTGTAATTTCTTTACTTCAAATAACCTTTTAGGAGTACTTTTCCATCTTTTCATCTATAAGATGTACTGGCACATCCTCTCAAGTACTCATTGCTGTGTTTCCAGGGTGATTGTATTGTCTTCAGTGGATCTCAATGGTTTCTTTCAAGACTGCAAGCTATGCTCTAATTATAAGGAAAATATTGTCAAGGGCTGTCAACAAAGTCATCTGTAGCTATTTATAATCCATTATCACGGTAACAAATCCTAAGCTTAGCAACTATGGAAAGAATAAACTCTTCATATGGATTTGATCATATTTTAAATTATATTGGTATAAACCATGAAATTGATTGGATTGACTGAAATTATGGCGTGTGAAATGAAGGAATTTTATTTTAAAATAAACCCCATTATAGCAGTTCATGCAACTAAGCATCTTTCTGGGTTTCATGGATTGATTGTAGTAGGAGGCACTTAAAAATGAGAATGACAGACCAATAAGGGATTCTTATTCTCTTCAGTAAAATCTAGTAAAATCAGATTTGAATTTCCATAAGACCCCATCATCAAAAATGCCTTGGATATACAACATTAAACAGCATTAAAAATGCCATTCTGAACATGTGTTTAAACAGGCATGATATTAGTGAAGCTACTCAAGACAACAGATGTCAGAAAAGTAATTCCTTCCATGCAGAATGAAAAGAATGAGCTCATAAATATACCTCAGAGGTAGCCAGTGCTTTAAGAGCAAGAAGCATAAATTGTACTCACAGGGGAGTTCAGACAGACAAGAAGCTATTCAGTCTTTTCTAGGTAAAATTTAAATGCCATGAAATACTGAGTTGTAGACATAAATTTGTGAGTCTCCTCTTACTCCTGAAGAACTAACAAAACAAAAAGCAAAGTACTTAAGCCTTAAGTCATATTTAAAACCACTTTTGTAATTTGCTGGCTTTGTATTTTTCTTCTTTTGAAGGGAAATACAGTTTGCCATTAGTTTGCCATTCAGAGCTATTATTTTGTATGTTCATGTTAATCTTTTTAAAGATATAGCTCCCCTCACAAAACCAGAATCCATGAAATTTATGAAAACATTTCAGTCTTTGAGCAATGTCAGTAACACTCACAGAAACACCTGGTAATTGGCACTCACACAGATATTTGATGCCAAATTCAGTTTTCTAGAATCCAAACTTTGTGTTTAGCCATGTCATTTAATTTATCTGTGGTAAGCATACTACCCTCTCTGAAGACCACAATTTTTTACCTATCTGACACTCAAAAATTTTATTTTGTGGGAATTTGACCCTAGAAATAGGCTATGAAGTGCCAGCAGAACCATTTATTGAGTCCTGCTGCAGCCATTCATTCCATGCTTTGATAGCAAATTTTATCAAGAGTCACAAACACATAGAACATACAAACACATATGTACATCTCTGTATATTTTTCTTACACACACAAAGCACTCAGGTGACAAACCTCAAAACTGGCACACAATATGACCAAAAATTAAAAAGTTCAAAGTCATTAATGCAACACACTGGAAAGACTGGGAGAAGCATTCTCACATTATATATATAAATCTTCTTATAGTTTTGTTGTCAGATTTATTTCTTTAAACCAAAAGAGTGTTTCCTTAACATAAGCAGATCAAATTTGTGTATGACCAAGGTAACTCTGAAACAAACTTGAAGCATCTCTTGACAGGAAAGTCTTAAAAGGTCTTTCTTGATCTCCTCATGCCTCAAGATTTGTTAAATTTTGTTTTACTTTTATATACTTACCAGGAAAAGGATGAATTTTAGTAGCAGATACAGTTCTTCTTGCATGTATGGAACTCTTTCTTCTTAGAACAGTAGAAACTGATGTTGCTACTCTTTGTTTATAATCTGCTTTAAACAAAATGTCTTATGTTAGCATCAGCCCTGATTAGAAGGAAAGCTTGTAAATCCCTTATCATTAAACTGTTGAATACCTTGGAAAGTGTTTAAAAAAATCAGGAAAGTGTTGGAATAAGGTGATGAGGAAAACCAAGAGCCAGATGATTTGTATTTTTCTGAATGAAATTTTGTAGAAATTTCATCTAGATTTGTCCCTTTCAAATTATTCCTTGCCTTTTTCTAAACTGCGTACCTTGAACAAATTTTGGAAGGATATCAAGAAAAGTACATATTTCAGTACAGGATTGGACTCTCACTGCTGACAGTGGAGTAGCAAGGATGGACTGCATGGGCAACCTAGGAGGCTGACAGATTCCTTGCTAGTGTGGGGTGTTCATCTCAGATACACAGTCTGAGAGCAAGCTCCACACCCCTGACAAAGCTAGAGCTGGATTGGACACCTCTGGCTGTTCCTCAGCACCCAGTTCATAAACTCTCAGTCCTTCCATCCTTCTGCTGCTCTCTAAATGCTGTGCTCTCAGTGGGCTTATTGCAGCCATGGTGCAGCTGTTGTGGTTAGTCCTGTTCAGCAGCGACGGCAGTCCAGGGCTCAGCCAGCTTCTGGTGACAGCCTCACTCCAATTCTATGTAACAGAATTTATTTTTATCTTTTTCCTTTGAGAACACTAAGAAATTCATTAAGTTAAAATTATTTAGGTCATGAATTTTTTTATGACTAGCCAGTGGAGATCTAAAGCACTAAAGCCCCAAGCAGACACTGTAACAGATAATGTCAAAGGAAGCTCTGGAAGTGGTTGTGAGACAAGAGTGGAAAGGAAAAGGCAAAACAATTAATTTCCAGTTTAAGGCCTTTATAATGTATCAGTTGTAACCTTCACCAAGTTTATTTGGATATTTTATTTTATGCGCTTGTCAAAATAGCTTAATGATTCAGAGAGTCTCAGAGTCTACCTAGCAGAATATCTTGCAAGGTCTCAAGAGGAAATGAGTAATTCCACATTTCTTAACAGCTTTCAGTGGTGCTCAGCAATGAACAGAAAAAAATACCAACTGAACTATGGCTGGAAAAACTCATAACAGCTGTTTTAGAAACATAGCTAATAGTTCTGCTCTATTCTTTGAGCACCACTGGAAAAAAAAAAAGTTTATAGACGCCACCATTCATATGCAATGAAAGGTGGCATCTTAATATATACACATAAACCTTAAGTTTTATTTTTTGTGCACTTGTCTTTTTATCAGTAACATAATGATGTTGTTTATAATGTTATATATTATAAATTTAACTCATAAACCCACTTTTCCTCAATTAGCATAAAATGTATCCCTGAAGCTAGTAAGTTATTAGAAGCCTCAAAAGGGCATCTCTTCCTCCCTGTTTGTGTTCACAATGATTCTGAAAACTTGAATTTAATAAAAAAGTGTAGTTTAAGAATAAAGCTACTAAATCATTAATCATCACTACTTACAGTTCTACATTAATAGAACAAAATAGAACGTTATGACTCAAAGCAGAGAAAATCAGAGACATGACATTTATAAGTGGTTTTCAAATTACAAATAAAAGTCCTTTAAATTAGAGCACTTAATAGCCCACTTATAAAGTCATAATTTACACTTCGTGGGTTTTATATACATGAAATCTGTCTCAGAAATTGCTTCTAGCAATAAGTAAAATATCATGTATTTTAAGCAACATCATCTGGTAAGGAGCTCCTTTCATCGAGGTGGGGAGGGTACAAACTTGACATCTCAAGCAATTATTTTGCTCAGTCATTAAAGATATATGCATAAAGTATTTACATTATGCAAAAAAATCACAGAAACATTTTGTGTGTGGGCACTACTCTTCTTTCTGTTCAGTTATGAGTAAAGCTAGACTTCTGTTGCTCCTTCATTACAAAATTACCTGTGCATACAGTAAGGATGACCAGGGGAATGGATAAGGATTATTATTTGGTTTACTACCCCTGTGACCAGGGCCTCCTTTCAGCAACTCTGAGCTACAGGGGAATGCACACCTGCCTGGCAATAGCAACTAAATGCTGCTTGTCTGGAGGCATTCTGCCCACTCAGGGCTGGCACAAGCAGAACGTCTCTGCAAACTGCTGTGAAAAGCACCTGAGAGTTATTCCCTCAGGTAACAGCTTCAGTAATATTCTTTCCACAGTGATGAAAAGTAATGTGCTCCTGGTACCACCTACCTCTGGCTTGGGAAGAGAGACAAGGACCAGCAGCTGACAAGTGGTCAATTTTCAGCACTGTTTTTGTGCAGAGGACTTTATCTTAATTGCTCAAAGATCTCAAGCTCAGGGTACCCCTACAATTTTATTCTTGTTTTATTCATTGTATATTGCTAGAGAAAATACTGTAAATCTGATTTCTACATGTATCCCAAGAGAAGAGCCTATCATGGCTGAAAGAATATTCTAGAAACAATTGTTTCAATCACTGAACTAATGGCAAATTCTCTCATAGCAAAGTTCCAATCACTTGGAATAGTCAATAGTGATGTTTCAGAAATCACAGAAATGTTTTCTTTGCTGAAGTAATAAAGATGAAGTAAAGAAATGAAATGTTATCTGGGCTTAATTCAGCTCTTGGCTTAAGAAGGTGCACCTTGGTTGCCCTGCATGGGATTACACCACCAATGAATTTGAATAGCCAGTTTTTAGGACAGATAGATAAGTGTATATCTCCTCATATCTATCCTGTAATTTTTCCTGGCTGTGACCTAAATAAATTACCTTCAGGAAGCAAAGGGTATTTCAATTCATTTATACTGGTCATTGGGATTTCTGCTTAAGACTTTTCACAAAGTTTAACAGTAATTGTTTCATCTACTGAAATCAGTGTGAAACCAGAAGTTCATATCACTAAGCCATCAATCATCTATCAAAATCCCCACATTTAATTTGCCATCAACAAGCTTGGATTTGCATCTACAGTTTTTGCATCCACCAAAGAGGTGAGAGGTAATACTATCAATCATCTAAGTACTTTAGTCAGTCTCTAAGAAGTTTTTACCATTTGACAATCAAAATATCAGTCTGAGCTACAGCAATAGACAACAGTTTTGTTATTATAAATGAATATATTCTTACTTGAATAGAAATTTAGATTGATGCAGATTAGCTTTTTGTTACTTACAGTTCCGTTTATTTTCTTGGACTATTTTGTAGATGACAATTGAAACAGTAAATACAAAAACTACTGCAATCATAGTGAGCCAAGTGATCTTCGTCATACACATTGGATCTGTCCATAAAATGTACAAGAGAGAAAATTAAGCAGCAAATCGCTGGCAGCAGAGAAAAGCAGAACATTCCATCTTAGTAGGTTTATGAATTGTGCCTATCCCCACAGATAAAAACAAAACAAAATCAAAAAAAGAGAAGAGATTATGCCTTATTCTTTCAGCCTTCTCTGGTTTTTGATGTTAGGTTTCCTGTCTAGAATTTAGCTTAATTTTTGCCTGTATTTTTATATCTATATCTCTATCTATTTCTATATCTGTATATCTTTCCATGGTTGAAATAGATACCGATGACTGAGTAACTTTTCAACTCAGCCAAATGAAAATGTTTCAAAGATGAACATTTATATTTAAGGTAGAACAAGGGTAACATGTGTCCCCTCTGTCTGCATAAAGCAAGGAAGGGAGTGGTCCATTGTCCAACATTGGCCTGTAGTGGCATTCTTAACCTCCTGGTCTATCTTCATATATGAGATGGCAAGATTCTACATATAGATTTTTTTCTTATAAAAAAGTGAAGAAATGTCACCAACATGAGCCCTCTGGGGAATTCCTTTAAAGTTGCCTTGAGGAAGAATCACATGGGACTGGATAAAGGAGGTAGGCTGCTCTTTTGGACAACAACTGCTGCAGAAATGCACCCACATTCCACAGGGATTTAGTTCAATAACTAGTACAAGTCAGGACTGTACACAACAAAGAAATGATGTGGAGAACTTTCCCCTCTGGTTGGCTGAATGGCCTCTCAACTCTCTTTGGCAGCTGCATGTTAATGCATACCTCAGCACTGTCAAATAACTGTTTTAAAAACCAGCTGTGTTACTATAACCCATAAAAAATCGAATTACAGACTGTAGCCAAACTACTGTTTCCCTTTCCCTGACTTAGAACAGCATAATTAGACTTCAACTTCCCTGGTATCTTCTCCATGAAGCAAATGCCATGACCCCATGGCTCATTCCTCCTAATTTAGAACTAAAAATATCTTTTATTACAGTAATCTAGGCTCCTTTTAAATAGAGCAGTCTACCTCATCTTGTAGTGGCTTGTAATGACTTGATTATCAGCCTTGCTTAGTAAAAGCCCTGAGCACCTATTTAGCTGTTTTGAAGTAAAGAGAAAAAAAAGACATATTGTTAATTTTCATTGCTAATATGAGATTACTGCTACCCAGGTTAATTAGTATTAACAAAGGGCAATTAGTTCATAGTATTGACACAAGTTAGCAGGGCAAGTTACAAATTATGCTCCTCTCATGGCTAGACACATCTATTAAAAAAATCCAAACAAGCAAAAACCCAAAACAATCCTAAACTGCATTTTCTTCTCTAGGATTTTCCCTGGACTTATTTAACATATATTAATCCAACTCTAAAAACCATATTTTTTCCAGCAAAGGTACAGCATAAAATAAATTTGCCATGCAAAACCAAGTGAATGCAATAATTCAGCAATTTCCAAATGATAAGTGTTGTAGATAGACAGAATGGAAGCCCTAACCATGGTCAGGAAATCAAACAAAACCCTTTTGCAGCACAAAGAGAAATATAAAAAGCTGAAGTTGTCCTATGGGGGAACTAAACTTAGTTCAGCTGAAGAATTATCTTTTAAGCATACTGCAGTGAGGCTATATAGTAGGCTACTGCAGTAAAACATTAGAATGGTCAAACTTATCTCCTGATTCTCTTATCACCAGAGTTAACAGGGATTTTTAAATTTACCTCCAAGACAACAGGGTTATGCCATTATCAGGAAAGGAAAAAAAATTATATTTCCAGGTTTTGTTACATGCAATGTGTGCATATGTTGCTGCTAATCAAGAAACAGTGTACAGATCTTTGCTGTATTTCTTCTAGAAAAAACAGGGTACAGCTAAACCTGCTTTAAATCATTATAAAATCATCAGTTGTCTACTATGGTCTACTTTTTAATAAGGGGTGTTCAAAATTGTATTCTCTTCTTGTAAAATATTTAAATATTTTCAAATGGTTGCTGGAAGCAGACAACTACCTACTTGAGATTTTTTGCAAGATTATACTGTTTCTAGTTTGATTTCCATTCTGAATCTCTTTTGTAACTTACATTCCATATAAGACTTCAGTTGCAGTGAAATATTTACACAGTCATTTTGGTCTTCCATCATTGCCAAGAGACAAGAATGATTTAGTTGTTTGTTGGCTGCGTTTTGTCCTCTGACCATAGAATTGTTGATGTGGATTTCCATCAGGTAGTTTGTATTATGCTCCACTTCTTTCTTGGAAACCGTAGTGAAATTAAAATATTTATAAAAATAAGTAACATTTTCTGTTTTCACTTCAAGCGAGCCTTTTGCTTTTGGAAATAAAAATTTAAAAAAACTGTTACACAAGTGGTAAATCAAGAGACAACTCTCAAAAAATACAGTGAATTCTCTGTCTCATTTGCAAAAACATCAAGGTTTCTACATCACTGACTATGAAAAAGATGGATAAATATATACTGTGTAAAGTTACTCTGAATAGATCTAAAGAGCATTGGTTATCTTATGCATTTTCCCTGCAAAGTATCACTCTTTTTTGCTTTACTATCACCTTTTAGTTTTTGTTGTTTTTGTCAGTTGCCAAAGGCAACAGGCAAAAATCAGGCTATGAGAAGGACAAAACCCAGGCAGAAACCACATGATGATAGAGATTTGAAGTGCACACAGTGTCTGTCTGCTATCAGTTGCAGGAGGTCCTTGCTTCCCTTCAAACCACACAATATGTGAGACTTGTTCTGTGTTTACCATAAACAGGTGAGATATTGTCAAAAGTCTTAGTTGTACAGGTATAACTGAGAACAGAGGTTGTCCATATATAAGCTTTTCTTTTTCATACTTGTTAAGACAGCTGTTTTGTAACAAGGAAAATATATATTTTTTCACAGGTTGGAAAATAACTGTATTTCTTATATTCAGGACTTGGTGGCCTATTGCCTCTGTTGCTGACAATGTTAGAAAGAAGTATCCTCTTCCCCAAAGATTTCCAGATATTTGCAAGTGTATATGGCAGAGAAGGAATGAGCTGCTACTGCTCTGAAAAGATGTGGGTTGCTATCTCTCCTCTGTATTGCAGTGCCATTCCTTAGCCAGTGCTGCCTTCTATAAAACATGTAAGGCCATTTCTGATGCTACACAGTTGAGGATAATGTAGACTACAAACACAAAAATGGTTATTTCTTCCATAGTTGCCATTGGAATAGTTACCTACTGAATTAGTTCTTCAGATACAGCCTATCTTCATAATGCAGGCAATCTACATGTAGAATTCCATAATGACATTTAAAAGCAAATTCAGCTTGAAAAATTGTCAGAATGTACAACTCCTTATAAATAAATCAAGTACTTTAGAAAGTAATTGCTATCAACATGTTTCACTGACAGCCAGGAATGAATGCCACTGAGAATCTGGCACAAAATCTGCATTTTCTAGCCATGCAAAAAAAGGTAAAAACCGCTATTGTTCACAGACATGCAAAGACCACAGAGAACCAGAACCATATAATTTTTTTCTAAGTACCAAATAAAAACTTGTCTTTTATTTTGTAATTAGCTACTTCAAAATTAAGTATTTCTCTTATCCTACTTACTTTCTTTAGTTACTGACCCTGATCCTTGATGATCAACATTCACATCCCTCTTGGATTCACACTCTCTCTGTTTAGGGTGGGACTGTTGTTCCCTCCAGGACGACTGGCAAATACATGGAATGTTTTGGAAATTGGTATTATTTATAATGACCTTCAGCAAAATAGTCTGGGTTTCTCTTCTTTGTTGCACTGATGTTTTGTAAGAATTGTTAAAAGTACAAAGCGGAAAAGTGATGTTACTTGATGAGCAGGTATCCATGCAGGACACCATGACAGTGTTGGCTGTAAAAGAAAGAGTGCTACATTAGTCAGACAGTCATATAGGACACATGGACATGTGCTCAGAAGCATCATGTAGTGCATATTCCAACCATCTTATGATGAAATGCACTTTTTAAATTATTTTTCTTGAGGGTTATGACAGGACATTAAATGCATCATACGTGAGAGGAAGCAAGCACAGAGTCTTCCCAAAACCTAGATGCTGGATTTTATTTGCTGAATTGTATTAAAACTCTTGTAATAGTAGCTGGAATTTCTGATGGTATCTAGTCACATTCCTGTTTCAAAGCTGCTCCAATTTAACTGTTCTTCAAAAGAAGAGAAAGCACATATATGCTTCTTCAAAAGGACAGAAAACTTGTTTGTAGAGGGAACTCAGTCCTGGAACAGTGAGTTGCAACACTCCAATGTACTTATGTTGTAAAGTAGCTATAATCAGTATGAAAGCTTTCTTTCCAAATGACATTGAAACCACAGAGTGAAAATACACAGCAATGCTGTGAATCCTCCAGCCACACACTTCACATTCTCTTATATTCAGTCAACAAACAGGGACTTTAATTATGACCTTTGGGTTTGGTATTCGTAGTCAAATTTCAATATCAAGTACCATAGCTAGAGTACATTAATGCAGTTCTGGCAAGCAGCAAAAACACATAGTTATAAATGAGTATGATTTGTCTTCCACATTACAGTAGAGCTTTATCATGCAAATTTTTACTTGTGTTAAAAGTAAAAAAGTTGTGTTAACTTTGAACCGCTTTTTCAGTAACTTTGAAGTATTTTTTCAGATTAAAAAACTCAAGAATAAAAAAATGTGTGTGACCCCAACATGAAATATGTCTTTATGAATAACCATTTCCCAGAGCTGATGCTACACTAACCTACAGCTTTATGTTTCTCATTCTAGCAGTACCCTTGCATCTCTATAAAGGGAAAATTTTGTATCTAACTCCCTCCCATTATGAACAATGGGAGCAATGTGATAATAAATCCTTATGAATGGCGAGCAAAATATATCCTTTAGTTGCTTCAGTGCTCAGCTGCACTCGGCCACCTGTGTTCACAGAGCAGCAGGTTGACCTCAGAAATGATTCAGTGAGAGATTCCAGACAGGACACAGAAATAAAATCCAAACTCCAATGTCAAAGTCAATTATCTTCCCTTTACTAACACTACATCAGAGAGTCATGAACTCCTTATAAAACATAATAAATTGAAATGTAAAACACAGGTATAAAAAAGTTCATTTTGATATAAAAAGGAAGAAAAACAGGCAAAATTTAGGGTTTGATCCTTCCCTGAGGCAAGACACAGAATTTTTCTTGAAATGCTTACAATCTGACCCACACAACAGGTCATGGAGCAGCCTTCTGAGATTAAATTCTTCCACCTGAAAGAGGCATTTTGTGTAGAACTTGTCTGTGGAGATGAGCCAGGAGCAAAAATGGAATGCTTACTCTGCTCTCGTGGCAAGCCATGGCATCTGGGCAACCAGTCTAAAACCACTGCTACAGCTTTCAAGGGCAACTAACCATAATTCCCTAACATATCCTCATCACCAAGAAATCTGTCCATGGACTTGGGAAGCTGCTGACTGCACTGTGACAGACATCTATGTTCAGCACTGCAAAGTCCATTTTGAACTGCCCAAATGGCTGAACAGATCCCAGAGCTGCCTGTGAGCCTTGCTGTAGGTGTGTCAAAGGCCTGTTATCTGTTGTAGCTGTGTCAAAGGCACATTATCTGAGCGGAAAAGGTGTGAATGTTTTTGAGTTAGGGAGGATGCTTCCCATCCTCTTGAAAGGTCTCTAGAGACAGCATATCAAATGACAATCTAGCATAAACAAACTTCTTTTTTCCCCACATCACAGGACTGTGGCCTTTCTAAGGAGGGATATAGATTGTTGAACACTTGAAGAAGGGCTGCAACAAAACTACCCTTTCCCAGTGGGTTACATGGCAGACAGAGAGCCATACCATACTCCTTGCTCCTTACTGCAGGACTGGGAAGTACCCTCCCAAATGTAAACATCATTCTGGAAACTTGAAAAGTTTTGTGAAAGGAAACTTGGAAAGGATTTTGTGAAATCTGAACACAGGCAGCCTGAATAGTAAAAAAGGATTGCTCAGATGAAACCATGCAAAGTAACTCTAGGGAACTGATTTATATTCAAAGACCTGCAATCACATGCTTAATGTTAAGAAGTTCTGTGATTATTAAATTCTTCTATAAAACCTCTATTTACAGGATGGTTTTTCATATAAAATCCAAATCCATTAAAAGTATTCACAGGGAAGATCAACATTTATAAAAAAATTTGCTTTCCATTAAGAAAATCACAAATATTTCACTTTGCATGGGTTTGACTCTTTGATTCTGCAGTATTCTGTTTTGAGTGAGAGCTGCAGTGTACAGTACAGTTGCATTTTTTATCACTTCCTTATGGAAGCTGGAGTTGCCACATAATACTGCAGAGATAAAAGACCTATGGTACAAGCTGGGGAATGCACAACTGATGGATTAAAGGAGATGCATTCCATCAAGTAGCAGGACCCAAGGGATAGGACTGGGATTGAAAGCATCAGAGCCCAAAGGATAACCTCCTGCTCTAAATCAGTAAAATTTAAAGGTTCAGTGGCTTGTAACCGACAAGTGCATTGCTTTACAAACAGAAAGGAAACATTTCACTTCTGGTAAAGCTGAACTGTATTCTTTTGAAAAAAATTTAAAGGCTTTTTTTTTTTTTTTTTTTTTTTTTTGCAAATTGATTTCCCCCTAAATTGTTGTTTAATGATAAATTTCCATTTTTATTCCCTCTCCATAATGAAAGTAAATGCTGGAATTTCCCCTGGGATAAGACATCCAGGAATTAGGAGCTTTCTGCCATTCATTTAGGAACTAACAGAGGAAGAGCCAGTGATTATATTTCACAACTCAAAGATTTCCAACAACTCTGTGTGCTGAAGTCTCATGGTGTAACCAGCAATTTGAAACACTTACAAAAAATTCTGTACATTTTAGGTTTGTCACAAAATCTGAAAAAAACAGTATTCAACTGGTTTTTCAACCTTTTTCAGAAGGTTTTTGATGAACCAGAGACCCAAAATCCTTAGAGATTTTGAATAAATTGTTCAACATATTTACTTTCTAATGTAATTCAGACATCATTACACCATCTGTTATATAGTAATTTAGTTTTTAAAACATCCAAAATGCAGCAATAATTTTAATTTTCCAAATATAAATCTGTGCTGCTCCGACTAAGATTCTGTTCCGCACATATACTTCACAATCTTATTTTAGACATGCTGTGATTAAGACAGAATTGCAGTGATTGCACTATTGCAGCTTAAAGCATGGAAAATAAGAGCAATCTAGAAAAATTATCATGGAAAAATGTAATTATTCTTTGATGTTTGACACTAAGGTTAATGTTTCCTTCTGGTAATAGTCCTGTAATTGTTTATTTGGATAATCTGGGCTACAAATACTTTGTTTACCTCTTCAGAGAGGTAAAACATTAATTATTCCAACATCTTAAACTGAATTATAAAAGTTATGGTATTCAAAACTTATGACAGCTTACCAGGTTTGTTCATTTATAAACTATAAACATTTATACATTATATTCTAATTACTGATATGTCTACTCTTTATGGTTAATGAAAAAATATATAAGTAAATGAATCTGGATATTTTGATACTAAATTATATGCTTCATAAAGAAATTATGTTATGATGCCTGAGAATACACTCTTTGTCAAAGGGATGCTTTTTATTATAATAGTTATTTAGTCAAAAGCCTTCTTAGGAATGGATGTGACAAAACAATTTAAATTAACTCATGCAGTTTTAAAAAAGTAACTTGCACACATGCATAGTTTGCATTTATCCTAAATTCAGTATCAGCCTCTAGGATCACAAAGAAGAATTTGGCATTTATGCTACAAGATTTGCTTTACTCAGTTACATCCATTCTGCTCTATTTTTTGTCAGATTACACTGCATATCTCCTTCACAGACAGCATCTCATTGCCAGATAGTAACTGTACAAAGTTTTACAGCATTTAAATATAAAAACTTCTAAAAAGTTGTTTCTGAAGACATGAGCACCTGCTATAAAAGAACATTAGCATTTTCACTACTTTCTTCATTATGAAGGCCATAAAAATACATGCATGGAAATAATTACTAAAAATTTTGCAGTGTACGGAAATTATGAACTCATTCCAAATTACCCCAAATAATTAGCTCTGTTGGTAAAAAATCTAACAAATAGAGTCTATATCCTTTGCAATTTCCAGATGTGTGCAGCATCCTAACCATTGCTTTTAGGAAAGCATGTGCCAACTTTTCAATTGCAGACTTCAGAATAAATAAAAGGTTATTTTAAAAGCTGATCACTCACCTTCATGGATTTTGAAAAATTCAGGTAAACACAAAATAAACACGATAATTATTCCTAGTCCTAATCTGAAGACTACTGGTTTTCTCAAAAGCAAGCACATGTCACCAAGGCACTCCCATCTAGCATAGTGATGGCAACTTCCTTCCTGGTTTAGCTTTTAACTTAGTGCAGACATTATGCAAAATAACACCTATTCATTTCCTTTTCTTATAATGACTTTCCCTTTTACTTCTCACTGCATTAACTTGCAAAAAACCACATTCTGTTCTTACATGGGCATAGATGAGGATGATTCATTCAAATATGCTCAAGATAAAATTCATGTACCACAATGACAATAAGGAAAAAAACCCAACTATTTTATATGTTTGTGGAAGTTTTTGCTTTAAGAACCCCTTAATAACTACTTCCATATACCTGCTAAACAGTAAGTCAGTTGTCTTTGTGAAGGAATTTTGTTCTTATTTGGCCAAGAAGATTTTTTTAAAAATGACTCAGACCCTCATTATAAAAATTTTTCAGAACCACATGAGTCAGTTATGGGGATTTTATTGTTTTATTTATATACATTTGCATGTGGCTAGGTGGAAGATAATGTTATGTAATAGATAATCTTTCAGACTTTATTAGACTATTGATTTGACCATTACAATCTAAAGTTTTTCTACTGGCAATCAGTGATATGCTAAGCACAATGAACTGAGGATGAATTGTTCATATTATCAATTGCTGCTGTATTCTTTAAAGATGACAGATGTGTTGCCAATCTGTCAAGTGTCTTCAGTTTGCTTTTTACTATTCTTTACACCACAAGAAGACTGGATAGAGCCATTGCTATTTCTATGACATGATAGTCAAAATTTTTCAGCTAAACTTTTCAGTTAAAAGTGAAGTATTAATTCTGACAACCGCCATGATATTCTATAAATTTTTATTATAGATGAGACTGCAAAGAACATTTCTGAAATGTTGTGAATAAAACTACCCTGAATGATGCAAATGTAAAAACAAATAACTTGACTCAAATATAGAGTAGTATAGTATAAAGGATTTCATTAATTCAGAAAGATGTCTTCTGAAGTATTTTTCCCAAAAGCTATTAAATATTGAGTACTAGCCAAATGAAGTAATACTGTTGAACGTAAAATAAGAAATGCTCTACAAACTCGAAATGCTCTTTTTGTCATCTAGTTACCTCAGAACATGAGTAAGGCAAGTGGAAGCAAATACAGTATTCATTCTATAGAAAGAGTCCTAATGAAGCTGTAGTAAATATAAATTTAATGAAATTTTAAATGTAGCACTTTCAGGCAATGAAAGCAACTAAATCAAAGCAAAATGAATGCTGATTTTTTGACAGACTGGTATAATAGAAGCAATAGAATACAAAAAAATCACAGGTATGAGTTGAAAAGGAAAAAATTATGCAATTTATATGTCATCCATTAGGAATTTAGCTCTACTTTGTTTTTGCTAATTTGCATTGCCCCTTAAGTATCTTCCATATCAGTTACTTACATTTTCCTGTTTTCAGTGTTGTACGGTGTTCACCCACCCTATCTGTCCAGAAGAAAAGGAGAAAATACTGCAAAACCGCAGGAGCACTTTTCAAGTACTATGTGTATCTGTCCCTTTCTGATACAGACTATCACCACTGATGGTAGTGTCTAAGGTCAGAATAGATATTCTGCTACAGGATTCCACCCAAGCTCAGGCTGATACAGTATTAACCTATGGAATACTCTGAGCATCAGATTCTACAGAAGGTGCCTTCCAAGAACTCTGCAGTAAGCTGATATAAGGGGCATATCTATTTTAGGGCTATTGTGATGGCAGATTTTAGTTTTGTTTTGTTTCTGAGTTCAGAGTGCCCTTGTATGATCTGTCTGCACATCCCTCAGGGACACCGTAGCTTTAGACACGGCTACCTTTGGGCAGCTCTGTGTGTGTGTGTGTGAGTGTGTGTGGTGAAGTAGCTGAATCGTGTGTGTGTGTGTGGCCTGGCCACACACCAACCTGGAAAACATGAGCTTTCTTTCTTGGGGACAATCTTCCCTCCCCCAGCTAGTAATTTTTACACAGCTGGAACAACTAGCATCTTTGAAACCCCCATCCTAATGTCAAGTTCAGTTAAAACCAGCTCAGTTATTTAATTCCAGCCAGGATGAGACCTGTTGGACAGCGAAGCGCACAGCCACACACAGCCATGCAGGCCATATTTCCTGCAGTATTTCTGTGCAGAACGAGGCCCAGCAAGCACTGTGGATCTCATTACTGCACCCAACCTGCACCGCCATGCCTCAGCAATGGCCTCCTGCACCCTTAAATCAGTTCGAGCAGTTGGAGGTGCATCTGGCTGTCACACAGTCTATTAATTTGGGAAATTATTCCACCTCTGGATGGCAGCAGTCACTGGTAAGGCATTGCGTGAGGAGGGCAGGAAAGGCTGCGTGTTTTTGCACACATGGGGTGTTATGAGGGGTTGTTAGGAGGGGCTGCCTCAGCAGCGAGTACAGGGTCCTGAGAGCAAGTGAAAGGCTGCGGTATTACCACACGTTTATTTCTCTTAAATGGGGCAGCGGGCAGCTACGGAAATGTTTGACTTTATGTTTTTGTAAGAAAGACAAGGACTCCCAGGAACCGGATGAGCCGGACAGCGCCTCCCCTGCCGCTTCCCCTGCCCCGCCGGCAGGGGGCGCGCCCCGCGGGCGGCGCCGCAGCGTGAGGGGAGCGGGAGCGGCCCCGGCCCCGGCCCGCCACACGCGGCCACGCGCCGCTCCCGCCCCGGGGCAGGGGGCGGGGCCCGCGGGAGGAGGCGTGTCCTTCACAGCCCCGCCCCTCCGGGCCGCCCGAGCGCAGGGAGGGGCCGGAGCGGGGCCGCGGGGACGCGACAGCGGCGGGCGGGAGCGCCCAGTGCCCGCGGCTCCCGGCGGAGCGGGAGGGCTGGCGGCCGCCGGGCGGGGCGGGAGGAGAGGGCGCGGGAGGGGACGGGAGAGGGTGCGGGGGCCTTCCTTGCGATTTTTTTTCTTTCTCCGCCCCCTCCCAGCCGCGCCCCCTTCCCGGACCGTGAGAGGTGAGGAGGGCGGTGGGGGCTCGGCAGCGAGGGGAGGGGGCCGCGGCTGCCGGGAGGGGGAGGAGAAAGCGAGAAGGAGGAGGAGGGCGAGGGCCGGCGCCTGCGAGGGGTGGGGGCGGGTTCGCCCTCACGGCTACCGGGCTCCCTCCCTCCTGCCGGCCGGCTGCGGAGAGGAGCTGCGGCCGGTGCTCGGTGTCCGATGCCCGGTGCCAGACGCCCGGGCCGAGCGGGGCCCGGCGGGAGCCGCAGCGCTCGGCGGGGCAGTGCCGCGCTCGCCCGAGCGGGGCGGGGCGGGGGCGGCGGGGCGGGACGGGACGCGGGGTCCGGTCCCGCCGAGACGGGCAGCGGCCGTGGCCGCCTCGGTGCAAAGCGGTCAGAGCGGAGACCTGGTACAAGTGCACTGATACAGCTCTCGGGGACTTACCCCATGTGTCTTAACCTTCACCTTCGCAGGATGAAATAGTGGAAAACAATTTTTTTTCAAATGTGAGACCGGTCGAACAGAATAGAGCCGTGTCTGACTGCCACTTCACTGCATGGGGAGCGGCGTTATTACACGGGGAACAGACAGAAGTATAAGTGTTGAACATCAAACAGCTGCTGCTTATATACATTACTGGTTTATGTTTTTCCTTAAAGCGTTTTTGTGGCTTAGGGCTTTGAGCTCGGACTGCTTGAGCTTCCTGAGCAGCGGGGCAGCCCATCTGAAAGGCAGCCGCCCCAGGCTCCTGCTCGGCTTTTTGGGCAGTAATATCAGAACAGTGAAAAGGGAAGGCTTGGCTTTGTTCCTTTCTTTTACTTAAAAGTCGATTATGAAATTACATGAGCTGATCTCCAAATACAGTCATCTTTTGAAGGTCTTCTACAAGCATAAACAGGAATAAAAACTTGAGCTCGTGGTAATGGTGGTGTAGCTTTTCTGTCTAGACAAACCATGTACTGGATAAATCTGAATCAAATAGCGTTTTCTTCTTCCTCGTGTCAACTTCATTGGACCATCCATCCATCAGTCAGTTTCCTCTGCAGAGCAGGTCCACTACTAAGCACAGCATGTTTATACCATGGCAGTAGACTAACACATTGTGTTTCACAGAAATGCAATAACTGGTAATTTAAAATTGAAAGAATTTGAGTGAAGATGAAGAAAATCTTCCATTAGACCATTATGGTCAAACAGTAATTGCAAGCTCTTGCTAACAATGACAATTCATATTGATGGACTTGTTCCAACTCTCTGGACTTTTGTATCACCCATGCTTTTTAAAAGCTTATTGTTTGCTTATGTTTATGTCATGTGGTTTTGTTGATATAATTCAGTGTTTCCTGATATAGATTACCTAATATAGATTACCTAATCAGACATAGCATGACCCAATAATGGAAGTTTCTACAGCTCTGAAGAAATTATAATATGATTCTATATTTCCCTTGCAAAATTCTTGCAGTTTTCCTCTTTCCATAGAAATTAAATTGCTTTTCCTTCAGCAGTCTTACCTAGTAGAAAAATGCGGAAGTTACGAACCTGACTATCCACTGCTTGCTTCTTGTCACAAGAACAGAATCTTTCACTCAAAGTTCCCAGCAAGGCCATGCTGCCCATAGGCATGTGTATTATTGGGCTGAGTGGCCTTAAGAAACACTCATATGGAAGAGATGAGGTTATGTGCTGCAGGTGCAAGAATGAGGTGGTATTACCCTTCAGAGACCTGCAAGGTTCTGGAAGCCAGTAAGAAAGGCCAGACCATGAGAGGTTACATATTAGGTATCACATTATGCATGCTGGTATCATGTAAGGCTACTTTCTTTCACTGCACAGTGCAAATAGTAATTTGTTTGGTGCCAAGCCAAAAGGAGATGCGTACTGTTTCAGCAAGCTGGATTTTGTGAGCAGAGTCTAACTTCGGTAAGAAAATTTTTAGTGGCCTGTAAATAGGTAAGGGTTGAGAACCACTGTAACAGTAAGTGTGAATTTTTATAGAGCTGCTCCATTTAGGGAAGCATGTTTAGTGCTGGTATTTGGCTTTATT